TCCCTATTAGTGGACTTGGCAAGGGGTACGGTGGAGAGGAGGGAGGGAGGGAGAGACTGGGAGGGAATGAGGGATCGGGACACGGCTGGGGTACATAGTTAATAAAATGTAACTGATAAGAAAAAAATAAAATACGAAAAAAAAAAGATATTTAGCTAGTCCTGATGATACTTGATAGGCCAGAGTCAGATAGAAGGGGATGAGCACCTCCCCTATCAGTGACTAGGAGAGGGACATAGTAGGAAGAAAGAGGGAGGCTGGGATTGGGAGGAGAGGAGGGAGAGGGCAAAAAAAAAAAAAAAAAAAAAAAAAAGAAAGAAAGAAAAAGAAAAACAGTGCATAAGAAATTGTAGTACATTTACACAATGGAATCCTACTCAGCAAATAAAAACAAGGAAATCATGAAATTTGCAGTATCATGAAATTTGAGGTATCCCCGAAGTAGAAAGATACACAGGGTATATGCTCACTTATAAGTGGATAATAGAAATATAATAGAGGACAAACATACTAAAGTTTGTACACCTAAAGAAGCAAGAAGGAGGACCCTGGGTAAGATGATCAATCCTCACTCAGAAAGGCAAACGGGATTGACATCGGAAAAGGGAGAAAACAAGGAACAGGATAGGAGCCTACCACAGAGGACCACAGAAAAACTCTCTCCAGCAGGGTATCAAAGCAAATGCTGAGACTCATAGCCAAACTTTGGGCAGAGTGCAGGGAATCTTATGAAAGAAGGGGGAGATAGAAAGACCTGGAGGGAACAGGAACTCCACAAGAAGAGCAACAGAACTAAAAAATCTGGGCCCAAGGGTACTTCCTGAGACTGATACTCCAACTAAGGACCATGCATGGAGATTACCTAGAACCCCTGCACAGATGTAGCCCATGGCAGCTCAGTCTCCAACTGGATTCCCTAGTAATGGGAACAGGGGTTGTCCCTGACATGAACTTAGTGGTTGGCTCTTTGATCACTTCCCCCTAAATCGGGGAGCAGCCTTCCAGGCCACAGAGGAAGACAGTGTGGCTAGCCCTGATGAGACCTGATAGGCTAGGATCAGAAGGAAGGGGAGGAAGACTTCCCCTATCAGTAGACTGGGAGAAGGACATGAGAGGAGAAGAGGGAGGAAGGGTGGGATTGGGAGGGGATGAGGGAGGGGGCTACAGCTGCGATACAAAATGAGTAAATTGTAACTAATAAAAAATTAATTAATTTAAAAAGATTAATGAAAAGTTCAACAAAAAGATCTTGGGAAAAGTTTTAAAATTCTAGATACAGAGAGCTAAACAAATCAGACAATTATAGTTGAAAAAGTTTTTAACAGACTAATGTCAAGCAAGAAAGAATATCTAAGCTTAGAAGAAGGAAAAAATGAAAAGAGCTTTCAAGATCTTTGGTACCTTAATAAACAAATACTTGCCTTTTGGGCTACCTAGGGAAAGATATAGAAATTCTTCAAAGAAGCTATACCCGAAGATGCTCATCTTGGGAAAGAGATGAGTATCCATATACAAAATATATGTCTTTATATAACTCAGTTTTAGGGTATTCAAGTGCCATGTACAAAGCCAAGAACTCAGTTTCTGATCCCTTGCCTCCCTCCAAGAAAAAGAAAAAGACAAACTGATAAGAACTGTAAAAGTAAAGCACAAGTCACATTTACAAGTGTGTCTGCTGTTTGCATTAGACTTATGATTGCGCAATAAAAACCCTAACAATAAGACAAGAGGAAATGAAATATCATTCTGTTTCAGACAAAAGTAATTCACCTAGCTTTATATATATCTGGAAAGCCTATTGTTCTATAATTAAAAACAAGCATTTTTAAATAAGGGGGAAAAATGAGGAAATTTATTACTACCAGACCAATCTGCCAAAAGATTCTCAAGGGAGTCCACATGCAGAAGAAAAAGAACCATACTGCACATTGTGAATACAGGTGAAAATATAAAGCCCATTTGTAAAGAAGACACAGAAAAGAAAAGTGAAAAGAGCCATGCCATGAAGGTGAACAGGTCACATTTAAAGATGCCCTTTTTCGGCAACCAGCAAACTGTTCAACCAAGAGGGAATGGAATTGTATTTTTTTATTCCCATGAAGAAATGCAAACTTAAATATTGAGAACAAATAGGAGAAACCTAAATCCTTAAATTATATTAGTTTTACCTGCTAAATGGAGTATATTCCTAGCTAGATTATGCAAATGGTTAAATGAAAATTCAGCCATATACCATCTATCAGAAACTAACATTAGTAGTAAATACAGACTGAAAGTGAAAAAATTGGGGAAAAGATTTTCCAGGATTGGAAAGATAGCTTGAGTAAGAGTGCTCTCAGCAAGCATAAGGACCGGAATTCAGATCCCTAGCACTCAAATGAAAAACAGAACATGGCTTTGTCAGCAGTGCAGTAGGAGTGAGACAGGTGGATTCTGAGAGCTATACAGTATCCTAGCCATATAGCTGAAATGGCAAGCTTCTAGCTTAGTGAGAAACCATTACTCGGGGGCAGCATGGCAATCTTTTTAGAATAGTGAAAGACACCGCAGAATCCTCCTCTGTCTGCCAGATGTGTGAGTGTGCACACACACAAAGATTCCATGCAAATGCACAGCAAAGGTAAGCAGGAAATGGTATTTTTCCACAGAGTAGACATAAAGACAAATTTAATCAAGGGATCAATTCAGTAATATCTAACAATAAACATTAGGATTAAAGAAGGAAGATGCAGTATGTTAGAAGAGAACTTCAATTCTGTAATATTGTTAATGGACAAATTCATCAGACACAACAAACAGCAAGCTGGCTGTGGTGACACACACCTACAGTCCCAGTATTTTAGAGGCTAAGAAAGGAGGATGCCAAAAGTTTAAGAAACATTCTGGATTAAATACTGATTACAAGGCCAACAAGCTTTACATAGTAACACCCCCCCCCACAAGTGCAACATTGAAGTACTATAGATAAGTTTTGAGTAGCAGACATTTCTAGAACATTTCATCCAGCAAGTATAGGATATACATCCTCAGCATAAGACACAATCCTAACAATATATCATGTATTAGGACATAAAAACAAACCTTGAGACATTCATAAAAATTGCAAAAGTGGGAACTAGGATGTAGCTTAATTTCTAGATGCTTACATCACATGCACAAAACTCCTGAGTTTCATTGCCATCATCAAATAAAACCACATGTGAGACATACCTGTAGTCCCACACCAAAGGTGGAGGCAGGAGGATCATAAATTCAGTGTCATTCTTAGCTACACAGCAAGTTCAAGGCTACCGTGAACTGCATGAAACCTTGTCTCAAAAAAATACTGTGTGTCCTCTCTCACCACTATGTAATAAAGTGAAAACTAAACTGCAGAAATCTCACCTACCCAAACTATGAAGTTGTTATTTAAAAAGGTTGACAGGCTGGCAAGAATCTACAAAAAAGGAATTCTAATACCACATTGCTAGAAGTATAAATTATACGGTTCTGGGAAGCCATCGAAATGGTTCTCAAAATTAATAATCTTGCTGCTGGAGAAATGGCTTAGTTGTTAAGATCACTTACTATTCTTAAAGAAACTGTCTAAGTCCCTATATACCTACGTGGCAATTTAGTGCTTTCGGTAACTTCAGCACAGAAAATCATCCCCTTCTTGCCTCCACTACCGCTTCGTATGCAACTGGTACACAGACATGCATGCAGGCAAAATACACATACATATTTTTTTAATTTAAAAGAATAATGTAGTTATCCAATTTCTTAGTGTATAACCAAACTAAATGAAATCAGCTTACCAAAGAACTGTACGTCCATGCTTATTTCAGCACTGTTCAGCTTAAACATGCAATCAAACTTAAATGCCTTTCCTTCAGTGTGTACATAAAGAAAACTTGATTTATAAATATGTATGTTTGTGTGTGTGCCCATGTGCATGTCTTCACACACAGAAACATGTAGGAAAAGGGTAACATGTAAAAGAAAGGCTGGATTCATCGCTACATAAGTGGTGCATATATTGATGTATAACAGCTTACTAATATATACAGTTTACATGATAATATAAAATGTCAAAGACTTATGGTGTGGGCAATATATTACATTACTTTTTACTACCAAAAGCTCTGCCCTTCGCCCCACCAAAGCAATGCAGGGGTCTCAGTAGACACCTGAGTATTGGGTAGCGGTTGCTTTAAAGGGAAACATTGAGCTAGGGTGTAGAATAGAGTAAGTCTCTTGTCCTGAAAGACTTGTTACATCTTGCCTCATGACTTTAAAAAGGAATAATTCTAAAAAAATAGAATGGCTCCAAGTGAAGAGTGTTCAGGAGCTCACATTGCTCAGCTCTTGTATATAAGCACTGAGAAGAGAACTCAGAATATATCTGTATAGATGTTTGATAGGCAAGTGGCTTTCAAGAAATTATTTTACCTCTAATAGTATAAAGTAATCATATTAAAATCTTGTTTTCACACCTACTTGTACCACACTGTTTAAAAATTAAGCATTGAAAATTATTTGCTATCTTAAATAATATTGTGGTTTTACTGATATTGTAAAGCAAAAAATTTTTTTTTGTGAATCTGTAGAAATTAAGCTATGACCAATATCTTTTAAAATTTCGCTCTTGTAGCTTGTCTGAAAGTAGTGTTTGTTAGCTAGGTTAGTGATTGTAGGACACTGACAGATAAATCTCCAATTCTCTTTTTGGAGACTGTAGGCACACATAGTATGTTAAGGTTTGTTTCCAATTTTGAGTCCTTTAGAAAAGGAATTTATTTAATATGGGCATAGGTTCTCTATATTTTTATTTTAGTTTTGCCATTTTGTACTTCTATATAGGTAATATATCCTAAAACAAAACAAAATATAGAATAGAAACTTTTTTGTGAGGATAATTGATTCTTTAGCAAATTTGAATTGATGTGCTTCTAATTGAAAAGTTCTATTTTATAAAAATGTGATTGTAAACTTTCTGATCTTCCTTTTATTCTCAACAGTGTATAGTAGTGACAGAAATGAAATTGACATTACAAAAGAAGATCAATGACTTTTGCCATTCTCATTGCCCTCCAATTAAGGTAATATAATTTAATAATGACATACAGTTAACTAAAAGAAGAACATTTTTTATATTATGGTTTCTAGCTATCCACTGAGTTATATTAAAAAAAACTGTCTACAACCTCAGTTCCTTTTTTTTTTAATTTTTAATTTATATTTTAAAATTTATTCATTTTACATCCCAATCATTACCCCCTCCCTCTTTTCCCCCCAGTCTCTCCCTCCTTTGCTCCCTCTTCTCTCCTATCTCCCTTCCCTAGTCCTCAGAAAGGAAGAGCTCTACCATCAGACCCCAGCCTATCAAATCTCATCAGGACTGCCTGCATCCTCTTCCTCTGTGGCCTGGCAAGGCCACCTCACCAGGGGGAAGAGTAAGCAACAGAGCTCATGTCAGAGAAGTCCCTGCTCCACTTCCTAGGGAAGCCACGTGGAGTCTGAGCTGCCTGTCAGCTACATCTGAGGAGCAGGTTTAGGTCCTCTCCATGCATGGTCCTTGTTTGGGCCATTAGTCTCTGTAGGAACCCTGGGCTCAGATTTGTTGTCTCTGTTGGTCTCCTTGTGGAGCTCCTGTCCCCTTCTGGTCCTTCTATACCCGCATTCTTCCATAAGGCTCCCTTTGCTCTGCCCAGAGTTTGTGTGTGAGTCTCAGCATCTGCTTCCATCCCCACAGCACATGTTGACAAGGATTTAGAGAAAGAGGAACACTCCTCCATTGCTGGTAGGAGTGCAAACTTGTACAACCACTGTGGAAATGAATCTGGTGCTTTCTCAGAAAATTGGGAATAGTTCTACCCAGCTATACTACTCCTGAGCATATATCTGAAAGATGCTCCACCACACAACAAGAACATTTGTTTTGTGATATTTATAGCAGCTTTATTCATAATAGCCAGAATCTGGAAACAACCTAGATGTCCCTCACTGAAGAAGGGATAAAGAAATTGTCGTACATTTACACATGGAATATTACTCAGCTATTAAAACAAGAAAATCATGCAATTTGCTGGCAAATGAGTGGAACTAGAAAAGATCATCCTGAGTGAGGTAACCGAGACCCAGAAAGACATGTATGGTATATACTCACTTATAAGCGGACATTAGCCATATAATACTATAATACTACAATCCATAGACCTAAAGAAGGTAAGTAACAGTGAGGACCCTGGGAGGATGTTAAATTCTCATTCAGAAGAGCAAATAGATACTGGAAGCAGTTGATGAGAGGGAACAGGAAAAGAGCCTGAAAGATTTTTTTTTTTAAATAAACTTTTTATTTTTAAAGACTTGTAAGTAGCCAAGCATAGGTGGAAGCCTTTAATCCCAGCGCTAAGGAGGCAGAAGCAAGCCAGTTTCAAGGCCAGCCTGGTCTATATATCAAGTTCCAAGCTAGATAGTGAGACCCTGTCTAAAAAAATACAGCAAAGAAGATACTTACAAATAAATACACAAATACACACACACCCCAAAATTAAAACCGAGGTATGTGTAATACACTTCTACACAGAATATTCTTTCTAAAGCTTCAAAGCTCCATGTTGGTTTTTACCATTTGACTGTAGAATGTGTTAATCCACCACAAGGAACAAAATATCTATGACAGAAGGGGAACAATTAGCTTTATATTCCTTTTCATAACTTTGTCCATTGCCTGCATGCAGTCCTTTCTTATCCTCCAATATTTATCCTTTTTCTCTTTTATATACATTATCCCACTGGCATATTTAGTTACATATATACATATATTATTGCCTAGATTCCTCAGATGAGTAAGAACATGAGAATTTTTCTATTGAGAATACATAACCTTTCTTAATGTTATACATTTTAAGTCCATCCATTGTCATCGAAATTTTGTGACTACTCTTTAGAGCTGAATAGATTTATAACAGCTATAGAAAGAGATTGAAGCACAAAAATAATAATTTTGTTATAGAATTTTAGGACAAAGATAATGCCATTATTATAAAATTTATTCTAGTAAAGCATTTGTAATCGTGTTAATAAACATCATGTGTACATTTTGCGGTTTTGTTTGCACTTAGATTTCTTTAGCCTTTTTTCTTTAGACTACTCCCATCTTAATGCCCTCTTCTAATTTCCACTAACAAATGCTTTTGGTGAATGTACACTAGTTTTGTTTCTGTAAAATAATAAGAATTCATTCCTAAACCATTAAACCAAGATATTTTTTTTTTTGTATTGAACTTTAAATTTATGGCCAACCCTTAATTTTTGTTGCTGAAACAACAGTATATAATAGTGATACATTGAAGGTAATTTTAATTTTATTGTGGGAGACCCTTCTCACCAAATACACTTTTTTTTTTTTGGTGACTTTTCAAGACAGGGTATCTCTGTGTAACAGCCCTGGCTCTCCTGGAACTTTTTGTAGACCTGGCTGGCCTTGAACACACATAGATCCATGTGCCTCTGCCTGCTAAGTGCCAGAATTAAAGGCTTGTACCACCGCACCTGGTAATACTACATTTCTTGATTCCCAAGCTGATCTATAGAAGATTCATTCAATCCTTGAATAATGTTATGTTTCAAGGAATATACCTAATTCTAAGTGAAAATATTATGAAATGACAAAATTGAAGTGGGTTTTTTTTTCTCTTCACATAAATTTATTTCTATCTTTTCAGTTTATAAGTGCAGATGTACATGGAATTTGGTCCAGGTTGTTTTGTGATTTTGGTGATGAATTTGAAGTTTCAGATACAACAGGAGAAGAACCAAAAGAAATTTTCATTTCAAACATAACGCAAGTATGATTATAGTAATTAATTTTAATTAAATTGTTAGAGCACAGGAATGCTAATTTTAATATTTAAATGTTTTTTAAAAGTTTCATATAATAGAATATAATAAGTTCGTTTTCAGTAGAGTACTCTGATTTTTAGGCTAATCCTGGCATTGTCACTTGCCTTGAAAATCATCCTCACAAGCTTGAGACAGGACAATACCTAACATTTCGAGAAATTAATGGAATGACAGGCCTGAATGGATCTGTACAACAGATAACTGGTAAGTTTATGTTTTCTTGATTCCTTTTTAGTTATTCAGCATATTTATGATCATATGCTTTTGTGTTTAGAATACATCGCCTCAGATTGAGAGCTTCACATCTCTTAGCCTCAAATCATTGTATTCAAGGGAGGGCATACTAAACAGTGATAATACTACAAGGAAGAAAGTAAAGTAAAGAAATATACATTGAGAAAATGCAAGTTGATGTTTGGGGGTTTTTGTTTGTTTGTTTGGTTGGTTGGTTGGTTTTGGTTTTTTGAAACAGGGTTTCCCTGTGTTAGCTTGGCTCTCCTGGACTCACTTTGTAGACCAGACTAGCCTCAAATTCACAGAGCTCCACCTGGTTCTGCCTCATGAGTGCTGGGATTGCAATTGTACGCCACCGTGTGTGGCTCTGCTTACTTTTTCTGTTTAATATATGACTGTTAACTATTTGATCATATGTTTATAAGTATTATAAACTTATATGGTAAGTAAAAGGAGCTTACTGTTTAGGTTAATGTTTTGATTATTAAATGGTTCAGTAACAAAGTAGATTGACAGTGAAAAATTTGTTGCATGTTCTTGGCTCTTTCCTCTCAGTAGTCAGCTACCTATCAAGGGCTTATTGTGTATCACTAGGGAGTTTCCTTATGCTTTCTTACACAGTAAGAAAGTACCTATGTGTTATAGCCATTTGCCTTTCATCAAATAAAATCAGTTGCTCATTTTTTCACATTAGTTGCAGACCATTGTAACTGTAGCTATATGGATTCATAATATAGATGAAAATATTAAGTTTAATTCATTTTTTTTTTCATTTTATTAATGAGTTTAAGTATCTTAAACTTTGGAGCTGTTTCTTTCTCTTTAACGTGAACCATGTGTATTTGGTTAGTTTCCAGCAAACCATTGACCATTTTCTTAACAGTTCCCAGGACTCTTAAAAATGAAAACTGTGTGAAAATAAGACTATACAGCAAAGCCAAAAGATTAATGCCAGAGTAGGAGTAAACTTTGAAATTTAAAATTTGGTAAAAACTGACACATAAAACACATTAGTAAGAGTCTTTTGACTGCTTTGGTAGCTGTTTTCATAGTTTCATTATATGTTTTTCTATCACAGACTTTTTTCAATCTTAACACTTATTTAGTGTTTCAAAAGAAATTCGTCCTGTTTTTTTTTTCAATGTTCAGCCAGTACTTTATCAATAAATTTATAAGTCTCTAAATATTTTTTATTTATTATTTATTACAGTTTATTCACTTTATATCCTGGCTCTGGCTCCCTCTCTTCTCTCCTCCCAATCCCTTCCTCCCTCTGCTCCTCCTATGCCCCTTCCCTAGTTCATTGATAGGGGAGGTCCTCTTCCCCTTCTATCTAACCATAGCCTATCAGGTCTGATCAAGGCTGGCTGCATCATCTTCCTCTATGGCCTGGCAAGGCTGTACCCCCCAGCAGGAGGTGATCAGAGAGACAGCCACTGAGTTCATGCCAGATTAGAGCCCCTGTTCTCCTTATATAGGGAACCTACTTGGAGACTGAGTCTGTGAGCTACATCTGAGCAGGAGTTTTAGGTCCTCTCCATACATGGTCATTAGTCAGAGTATCAGTCTCTGCAGGGCACCCGGGGCCCAGTTCTTTTTCATTTATTTAGTTATGGCTCTGCTGGTCTCCTTTTGTAGCTCCTGTCCCCTTCAGGTCTTTCTATCTCCCCTTTCTTTCATAAAATTCCATACACTCTGCCCAAAGTTTGGCTATAAGTCTCAGCTTCTGCTTTGATACCTCAATCATTGGAATCTTTCAGAGGCCCTGTGTGGTAGGCTCCTGTAGTGTTCCCTGTTTTCTCCTGCTTCTGATGTCTATTACATTTGCCCTTCTTAATGAGGATTGAGCATCTACCCTAGAGTCTCCTTGTTGTTTAGCTTTTTTAGAACTATAGATTTTAGTATGTTTATCCTGTATAATATAGCTAATATGCTCTTATGAGTGAGTATTTACCATACATGTCTTTCTGCTTCTGGGATACCTCACTCAGGATGATCTTTTCTAGTTCCCACCATTTCCCTGCAAATTTCATGATTTCCTTGTTTTTAATGGCTGAGTAGGATTCCATTGTGTAAATGTACCACAGTTTCTTTATCCATTCTTCAGTTGAGGGACATCTAGGTTGTTTCCAGAATCTGGCTATTTCGAATAAAGCTGCTACAAATATGGTTGAGCAAATGCCTTTGCTGGATAGTTGAGCATAATTTGGATATATGCCTTGGAGTGGTATAGCAAAATCTTGAGGTAGCACTATTTGTAATTTTCTGATAAAGCGCCAGATTGATTTCCAAACCAGACATTTTCCTCGTTTTAAAAATAATTTTTCTCCCATGCTTTTGTTTTTAAAGTTGGCATACTTTTGATATTTAAAACTCTTACCCACATGGAAGATGTTCTCTGGTGGTTTTCTTTCCTAAAGATATATTAAATAATCTTTTTCCTCACAGGTTTCAGATTCTACCTTTTTTTACCAACTTTGTTTTGTCTTTATGTACCTGAATGTAATTCTCAGGGCTGCAATTTATTCCTTTTATCCATATACAAGTAAAACTTTGTGTTAACATAATATAGAGATTTTATAACATTTTAATATTTTATAATTAGTACCTCTCACTTCTTTCTTTAGTCTCTGCTTTGCCTCAATTATTTTTAAGTCCCAAAGCTCATATTAGAAGAAATACATGTTATAGCTTCGAACAGATCCCTAACCCCCTAAAAAAAGAAAAAGAGACCCGTTTTAGAATCTTTCTTTTATAAATGGAAAACTAATGTCTTTGTGATAACATAACTTCAAATTTAAATACATATGTATATTTTTTTTTTCTTGCAGTGGTGTCACCATTTTCTTTCAGCATTGGTGATACTACAGGACTGGATCCATATTTACATGGAGGCATAGCTGTACAAATTAAGACTCCTAAAACTTTTTGCTTTGTAAGTATTTATTTTAACTTAAAGAGTTTTTAACAAGAAACAAAAAAGAAAGAAAAAGTATACAATGTTTACTTAACTGAAGTTAATTTAAAGAATAAATTGTTATTATTTTTAATTTATAAACAATTTGAAGAAAATGAAATCAACTTAGAGTCAAGCTGATACTATAAAAATACAGATAACACAGTATGTGCAGTCATCTGTACTGCAAAAGTTAGGCATATGCATACAAGCTTATACAGTTCTATAACTAGATGTCTATGTATATGATTGAGGTATATGATGTACCTCAAAGGAGCTATATCCTCCTCAATAATGAAAGTTTATCATACTTATTTACTGTCTAAGAAAAAGTTTTTATTTTCAGATTATGTAGCAAGGGCTATATAGGGTTATGTTTTATTACTCGATTATTTGTTAATTCATATTATTGCAATTTTGATCTATTATAAATTTTGTTTGAGATGTAGCATAATTCACATTGGTAGTGAAAATCTAAAGTAGGGCAGCTAGTAAGATCAGCTTTTGTATACTTTCTCTTGCACCATCCCTAATGTTTAATTAAATAATTTTGTGCATAAAATAAGTTGGTATGTAATGATGATTATTATTTCTTTACCTTTCTGTTCTTACCTTACACCCATACAGATTTTAACTCAGAATATCTACCCAAGACTTACCAGGCATACTAGTCTCAGTTACTTGATGATACCAGAATACATGGTAGCTGTTACATTAGGACAAAGTTTGGGGTTGTGAAGATGTATTTTCAGTAATTCTCTTAAAGTCACTGTTGAAGGCAAGTGGTACAATAATGAGATATTAGTGAACAGTTCAACTACAACATATCAGTTCAATCTCATTCATTTTCAGCCTTGGAAAAAGATCTCTTGATTCCACTATGCTAAATGTTTTGCCAAATAGTCACTCAAAATTTGCTGTGAAATAAAACTGTTTCTCCTCCTAGGAACCCCTGGAAAGGCAGATAAAACGTCCAAAGTACCTTATTGCAGATTTTAGCAAACCTGAGGTAAATACTTACTTTTTGGGTTTGAAAGAGGCAGCAGCAGAGAGGTGGATGGGGTTTGGTAAATGATTCAGAACTTAAAATGGGTTTATCATTCTTCTAAAGTTGTACTCTTATCTCAATATTTAAAGTTGACATTGAAGGATTTAAAATGGGAATGCATGATGTAAAAATGTTAGAATAAAAGAAGTTGTATTTTAATGATTTGCTAGCTTTGATAAGTAATTTTAATTTTACTAAAAAGTAATTTTTTAGTAATAATAGATAGGGATGTAATATAATATTATCTTAACCGTGAAGTTTTATTAGACATTTATTTATTTTATGTGCAGAGGTAGTGGGAAGCAGGCTTCCAGGGATTGGAGGTCAGTGGTTGAGCTCAGGTGGTCAGGATTGGTAGTAGGCCATCACTGGCCACAAAGTTTTATATAGTACAAGAAAAAGAACCTTAAGCATATGTTATATTGTACTTTACATCAGTAGAAGTGATTTTTAATAGTAAACATATAAGTGAACAGTTTCCAAATTTATAAACACTAACAAATAAAAGATGAGTTGTTATTGTATAAATGTTTTTTGGGGGTGGTTTTGGTTTTAGATTTTTGAGACATGGTGTCTACATAGCCCTGGCTGCCCTGGAATTCACTCTGTAGACCAGGCTGACCTTGAACTCACAGAGATCAACCTGACTACCTCCTGAGTACTGGTGCTAAAAGTGTGTGCCACCAGACTCAGCTGTACAATTTTGTTACTGGTATTCAACTGATAAATTTTATGAATAACACTAGTAAACACTAGGCATTTGAAAATGTTTCTTAAAATAACTTTATGATCTTGAAGTCAAATCATTTAACTTTTCTAATAGCACACTATTACACTGTTGTATGGATGAAATTAAATAGTAGTTAAAAACATTAAGCCTTGTCCATAGCACTTAACAAATATTAGCCAATTTTTTATGTATTAATAGGCACCTTTACAGATTCATGCAGCTATGCTTTCCTTGGATCAGTTTCAGGAAAACCACAATCGTAAGCCAAATATCAGGTAATGCTTTTTGTTTTTAAAAACAACTTACAGTTTTATGAAAACTATGTCTCAGGAATTATAGGTTAAAATATGTGACCGGCCCTCTTGTAATTACCTAGTTAAGTTCCTAGACTGCATAAACATGATATTTAGGGTGCTTTTTTGGAAGTGGGAAGATGAGTTTGTAAGAATGGAATCACACTGCATGGGAGTTTTTTATATTTAAAAACTTTAAAATCTGTAGCTTTTAAAACTAAAACCTCTGTTAATTGGTGAGCAGTAATATAATAGGTTAGAAGCCTAAGTTAGAAATTGTGAAAAGTTCTTGCCTTGTATGTTTAAGTCTAAATCTAATGCACTACCATAGATGACCATGATTTTAAAGTAATATATTTATAAAGCAGTTAAGACAGTTACTTTGAAGTTAGCTTAAAACACATTATACTGTAAACCAGTGGGTTTTTATACATTCTTATTTACATATATGTATCTTCTGTTTTAGTTTTAAATGTGACCTTGGTGGCAATTCAGAAAAATTGAAATTGAGTTATTTTGTTTTAAATCATAGATGTCAGCAAGATTCAGATGAGTTGTTGAAACTAACAATATCTATAAGTGAAACCTTGGAAGAGAAGGTGAATATTTAAAATTATGGTTGGCTGAGTATTAGTTTATAACATAAATGTTCTACATATTAATATTTCCGCACATTCAGATCTCCCCTATGCTACATACTGATTCTGTGGCTTTAAAGAAGCTCTTTGGTTTTGTTCTGCTTTAGTTTGTGTTTCTATAAAATTATATTAAGTCACCTCATTAAATAATTTGATATAAAGTTTAGAATAGCATGTCAATTAAGTTATTTGCTATTTTTTATATGATGTTAACATTGTTCCATGAATAAAGCTACAAATACATGCAGATTTTTAGATTGATAAATATTTTTATTTCTCTTGTGAAAATACCTAGAAACATTGCAAATTCACATAATAGATATAAAATATGATATTCGGTTTATAAGAAATTGCCTATTTTTTGAGACAGGCTCTCACTGTGTTAGCCCTCTCTGATCGAAAATTCAATATATATGTAGACCAACCCCAAATTCAGATCCACCTGTCTATTTCTTAGAGTGCTGAGATTAATGATGTGCACCACATTGTCCAACCTTAGGTGTTTTCAAAGCAGCTGTACTATTTTGCATTTTCACAAGATCTGTATTGGTTTCATTTGTACCAACCTCATGAAAACTTTGTATTTGTGTTCTCATTGTAGCCACATTATTATTTATAAATGTATTACATATATTTGATTTACATTTCACTAAAATAACAACACATTTGAGCATGTTTTTATGTGCCTGTGTGCCATTTGTACAATTCTTTGCCTTTTTTAATTATTAGGGGTTCTATAGTTAAATTTATAGTGTTTTATGTGTCTTTTTTATTTTTACTTATTGCAGTTTATTCACTTTGTATCCTGGCTGTGGCCCCCTCCATCTCTTACCATTCCCACTTCCCTCCCTCTTCCCCACCTTTTCCCCTCCTCCAATCCACTGAAAAGGGAGGTCCTCCCCTTCCCTCAGATCCTAGTCTATCAGGTCTCATCAAGAGTGGCTACATTGTCTTCCTCTGTGGCCTGGTAAGGCTGCTCTCCCCTCAGGGGGAGGTAATCAGAGAGCCATCTCATATCAGAGACAGCCCCTGCCCCACGAGTCTTTTTCAAATACATGTTTTACAGATATTCTGTCATACTTAGTTTATAATTTTATAATATAGTTTATGCCCCATTTTTTTTCTAAAATTTTTAAGAGTTTTGCAGTGCATTTTATGCATGCTAGGCAGACACCTAAGCTATATCCACAACTATGAATTTTTCTCATTCATTCATTCATTCATTCATTCATTCATTCATTCATTTTGGTGAGCCAATGAGTTTTATTGGGATTACTTACAGAAGCAGAAATGGAATAAAGAAAGCTGCATCACCAAAATCTTACAGTGTAAGTGACAGGTTACAGACCAGCAGTATGATGCACAACTTGCACCATGTCCACAGATTTGAGAGCATCTTTATAGGAAGTTCAGTTGGTCAGAGCCTCTTGCACACAGCTCAGCTGATCTCTGCCTTTGCCACAACTTGTCTGAAAGTGTCTCTCAGAAGCCCTCATGGCTTATATACCTGAGAAGTTAGGGACTTAGTGAATCTTGTCAGTTTTAGGGATTTTCCGAAGGCTTTGAATTGTTTGCTTCCTGTGCACAAGAATTTTCCCTCTAAGACAGAATGTTTTACCTCCTTTGAGAATAATATGTGTTTTGGTAAGTACCTTGGTCACAGTTCTATTACTGTAAAGAGACACCATGATCAAGGTAACTCACAAAAGAAAGCATTTAATGAGGGCTTGCTTGCAGTTTTAGAAGTTAATGTTACCATTATGGCAGGGAGTATGGCAGCATGCAGGAAGACCTGTTACTGGAGAAGTAGCTGAAAGTTGTACATCCTGATCTGCAGGTAGCAGGAAGAGAGACTAGACCTGTCATAGACTTTTGAAAACTCAAATCCTACCCCCAGTAACACAATTTCTCAAACAAGGGCACACCTAATCTACCAGGGTCCCACCTCTTAATTCTTATAATCATTTCATACAGTTCCACTCCCTGGTGACTAATCATTATATGAGCCCATGGGTGCAGTTCTTATTCAGACCACCACATTCATCTCCCTGGCACCCTCATACACTTTTAGGCATATCATAATGCAAAAATGCATTCAGCTTAACTTCAAAGTTCCCATAATCGATTACAGCCTCAGCACTGTTTAAAAGTCCAAATTTTAAAATCTCAGAGAATAATGGCAATTCTTAACCATAACCTCCTATATTTCCAACATACAATGACACAGAACATACATTACCATTCTGAAAGTGGGGAAAGGGATATAGTGGAGAAATATTGGACCAAAAAAAGAAAGGAAACCAGAAGGGCAAACTCAAAATTCTGCATCTTTATGTATGATGTCAAATGGCTTGTCAGGTCTCCAACTTTGTTAACTGCATCACACTTTTCTCCCTTGGGCTGTTTCCACATCTGTTCTGCTGCTATCCCTGACAGATAGGCAGCTCTGGGATCTCCAAAATTTTGAGGTCTCCAAACCAATCCAGGCTTTACCTTCATAGCTTCATGTAATGGCCTTTTGGGCCTCTATGGAGGGACACACCTTGACACATGCCTGTCTTCAACAGCTTTTTTTTAGTCTTAGAGGGAGATTCCATGACCCCTTTCTTGTGTTCTTGATTCTAAAGCCAGAACAAGTTCTGCCTCTTGGTGGGGCTGGAACTTGATCCCTTGTTCAATTACATTTGCATCAGCTTTCTCTTGTTTGGGGGCTTTCCTCTGTTACTCAAGCTTTTCTTTAATCTTTTTTTGAGGATGGAAGCTTATCTGGGTAGAATCTTGCTCTGAGGTCACCACTCCTGTGTAAAGGTGATTACTAGTCAATACTAGGCTCTCTTGGAAATCTCCTCCATTGGCAGCATTAATCAGAAACTCTTCTTTCCTGTTCTTTTGCATTTCAGTGTTATAGCTGTTGTAATACCCTGGGTTTCTTCCTCCCTTTCCTTTGGATATTTTGGCATTATGTCAATCTTCTTTCTATCAATCTTTCTTTCTTTCTATCTGTCAATCAATCTATCCTTTCACAGAATCAACTCAGTTTCGTTATTTGTTTTCTACTTCACTGACATCTGACCTGCATTACTTCTAGCACCACTTCATTTTCTTTAAGTTAAGTTTTTGGTTGTCTTGCTGTTTCATATTTCTTGTGTTTATACATTATATTATTTGTGCACCATTGGGACATAACATCTTTTTCTCGCTTTCTGTGATAATCTTTATGTATGATGATTTCTTGATCTTAATCCTCACTGCTCCTCAAGGAGAGTTGACTGTAATAGTGACAATAACAATTCAAGACCAAACCAGATATACAAAGTAAAAAAAAAAAAAAACTCAATTGTAAATATTAATTAAACCCCTAGTAATAGTAGACAAGTGATTTCAAGGCTAATCTGTTTTACAGAGTGAGTTCCAGGACAGCCAAGGCTACATAAAGAAACCTTGTCTCCATAAAAGGGGGAGGGAGGTATATTAAGTTGCTTTCTCTGAATTCCAGATACTCATTTTACTTTTAAGTGACAGTCCAGACTACAGTCACAGATGCAAAATTAAACTGAGACTAGTATATTAAAAAGGTGCTTAAGGGAACATACAAATTGTTTTAATCATGAGATTAAGACATTTTTATTTAGGAAGGAAATGTAGTTTGGGTTGGTTTGATTTTTAGAAGTTTAAGTTTTAAAAATATTGATACTTAGTCGTTGAAGTCACAGGTACTGTGTGAATACTGTTAGTATCACTATTGTCTGTGGTTTGTGTTTTAGCCTGAAGTGAATGCTGACATTGTGCACCTGCTCTCGTGGACTGCTCAAGGCTTTTTAACCCCCCTTGCTGCAGCAGTGGGAGGTGTTGCCAGCCAAGAAGTATTAAAAGCTGTTACAGGGAAGTTTTCCCCTTTGTGCCAATGGGTTAGTTCAGTATTTTCCTCTTTCTTTAAATTTAGTAGTCCATCCATAAAATGAATGTTATTAATTATAGCCTGCTATAAATATATTAGAAAAGAAAAGGGTAAGTAACTTAATTCTGTAATTGAAATTCAGTAACTTAATTCTTTAATTGGAACTAACAGGAACATTTATTTTGTCTATTAGGATATATCCCAGTTGTTCTCTCAGATGTTCCTACCACATAAGATAAAAATAACTTATTTTCTATGCTACAGTCTTTCTTTAGTACAATTAGCTTAGCATTTTGGGGGCTCTCGGAGCTCTTAAAATTATGCTGTAGAAATTTTGTCATCATGAATCTTCATGTTTAATTCCTGATATCGCCATAAGATGGAGAATATAGGAAAGATAAAAGTTTGAGAGCATCACAAGAATTAAAAACACTCATATTTGTTACATGAAGGAAAATAAATGACAGGAAATCTACACACATCATTCAGGTCTTTTTATTTTGAGTTGATTTTGAATATAGCATTACACCCACATAATACCATTTTTCTACTAAATTATTTTAAACACATTACAAGGTGATTGGTAGAAGTTGGCTTAGTTTCACCTATTAACATGATATGAAATATATTATGTTACAAAGGTTTAATCATTGGTTATGTCCAAATTTAAAACAAATTATTTAAATGAAAATATGAGTAAGACTGGCTTCTTTCAATTATTATTAAATTCAGCAAACTCTTTTTTTGTACTAAAAATGTTGAAACTCTTCCTGGATCTTTTCTTCAATAATTATGTATGTGGTTAAAGATGGCATAAAATATATCCAGGTGGAAAAGAAGTCCAGACTAAATATTTTCTTCTCAAGCGAATCATACTGTTTATTCAAATGTAACTAAATTGAATGGAACTCCCAAAGGTTTTCTATAGTTATGAAACAGATTTTGAAGTAAAATCCCTGAAAATTAAAAAAATAAAATAAAAACTATCCTTAGGATGGTTAACTGACATGAATAAATTACATACCTTTTAATTAGTTCTTTCAGGTTTCACAGTTTTTTAAGAATATGTATTATGAACATTATTCTAATATTTCATATTGAATTGCCATTTTTGCAATCTCTTTACACAATTCTTAAATAACTACAAGAGAAAAATTAAAATGGTTTTAGTGATTTAGGTTTTAAATGTAACCTTTTTTTATTATTATTATTATTTTATTATTTATGACAATTTATTCACTTTGTATCCCAGCTATGGTCCCCTCCCTTACCTCCTCCTAATCCTACTCTCCCTCCCACTTCTCCTTCTATGCCCCTTCCCTAGTCCACTGAGAGGAGAGGTCCTCCTCCCCTTCTATGATAGTTATGCTTTTAATCTTTTCTTTAAGTTGTTTCTTGAAGCAGCAGATACTGTCAGATCCCTAGGCAATCCTGGGCATGAAGAGTTTCTCCCAAGGTAATGCCAAAATTCTCTTAGGTTTTCTTAGTATCTCTTTAAGAAGCAGTTATTGAATAACTTTGTGTAAATGTCTTTCCACCTGACATGTTACTTCTTGACTTGTTTCTTGTCTACCTACTGTTTAAATATTACAGTGTCTCATTACACTGTATGTGTAGTGATACACAGTTTCAGATTGTTTGCATGAGATGAGTAGCATTCAAGGGTCTTAATATTAGTGGAAAAGATTGCTGTACATAATTTTTTTTAAATAAATCATTTTCCACGTGAGACCATAAATCTTTTTTCAAAATCAGTTAAAACTTTAGAGATCTCATTATTCCAGAAAAATCACATAACCCAGAGTTATGCCTTTATTTTAAATGAGGTAATAAGTCCAAATCATTCCAATAGATTTCATTAAGAACTTTTTAAAAATATTATAATCTTAGAAATCTTTTTTCTTGAATATCATAGTCGCTCATTATCTGCAGTTTAACTTTCTTAGATTTTATTATGTGTAAAAGTATCAAAATATTCAAAATGGAAAAGTACAGAAATAAACTGTTGATAAATTCAATTGAATGTAATTGGATCTAGAATGATGACATCGCTCACTGTTGTTCTTGGGATGTGAATCTTTGCCTGTTAATCCTTCAGACATCTCCATTTGTATAAGAATTTCCTGTGTTCAAAGTAAACTTTAAAGTTGTTACTTAACAGTATAATTCAGATGCAATAGAAATGATGCTGGTGGTAATAATATGTCAAGGAGAAGAGAGTAAAAAAAAACTTTTTATATGAAAAAGTGAATATTTTTAATCTAAGAATATGAAAAATAATTGTATTCTGAGGCTGTAAAAATCTGGTAGATCGAGCCAGACATGGTGTTCATGCAGGTAGTGAAGCCAGGTTGCAAAAAGAGTTCAAGACAAATCTGGCAGCATAAGGAAGACCCTGTCTCAACACAACAAAAACAACTAAGCCAAACTAACTTTAAAAATAAATTTTAAAAAAAAGTAATCTAACCATAAAATTGCAAATAACAGGAAAGAAGTTTGCTAATTTTCCTTTGTTATCTCAGCCTGCAAAAGTTATTACCACAGTGTCATAAGTTTACATATGTATATATAGGATAAAATTTAGTGTACTTAGGAATCAGTATCGAACAGAGTTTCAAGCATCCATTTCTGATCTTGTAATTAATCCCTTGAGCTATCATAATCTAAAGTCATCTTCACTTAAGTCATTTGGATATTAGTAGGGTCTTTTCTCTTTCAAAGAAGATAGCAGTTCTCATGAACTGAAGAAAAGTTTTTTTTTAAAGGTTTAATTAAAATATAATTATATCAGTTCTCCCTTCCTTGTCCTTCTTCCAACCTTTCCCATGTTCCCCAACTCCGTCTCAAAATTATGGCTTCTTTTTTATTATTTTGTTCATATATATACATAAATGGAGTCTGCTGAGTCCAGTTATCTCGGGACTGTCTGCTTTGTATTAGATAACCAATTAGGGGCTCATCTCTCAAAGCTGATTCTCTCCTTAGCAATCATTAGTCATAGTTCTTTGTTTAAGGGTATGAAGGGTTGAGGAAACTCTTGAGTATATTCTGCTTTAAAGTACAATGTTAAATTGTTATTAACAATAACAAAGTGGTTTGTTTGTTTTTTATATCTCTGTTTTCTTGGTAAATGTTTCTTCAGAGGAGATAGATATGATGCCTTACGAGCCTGCATTGGAAATACATTGTGTCAGAAGCTACACAATCTGAATATCTTCTTAGTAAGTGTGAATAAGGACAAGAATAAGTAGTATGTTTAAACTGTTGTTGAATGTCAAGTTATTTTTTTGTTTCTATTATTATTAACTTATTTATTACAATTTATTCATGTTGTATCCTGGCTGTAATCCCCTCCTTCATCTCCTCTGGGTAACACCCTACCTCCCTTTTCCCCTCATGTCCCTCCCTAGTCCACTGATAGGGGAGGTCCTCCTACCCTATTATCTAACCCTAGCCTATCAGGTCTCATCAGGACTGCCTGAATATTCTTTCTCTGTGGCCTAGTAAGGCCACCTCACCAGGGGGAGGTATCAAAGAGCAGGTAACTGAGTTTATGCCACTGACTGCCCCTGTTCCCCTTAACTAGGAACCCATATGGAGACTGAGCAGCCTATGGGCTACATCTGAGCAGGTGTCTAGGTCATCTCCATGCATGGTCCTTGGTTGATTATCAGTCTCTGCATTTTTTAAAGTCAACTTGCTCTAAATGAGTAACTGATAAATCATACAGCCTCCAGAGCTTAAAATATCTACTGTCTGACCCTTTACAGGAAAGTTAGCCAATTCAGGATCTGAAAAATTTATGTATTTCAAAATAAATCATGAATATAATTTTCAACATTAAATGATTCTCTAGAAATGCTTTTAAAATGTGGGGTTTTTTTCCTTATCACTGAATTAAGAAATGAGTAAGTGTATTCTCTTTTTTAAATGTCTTTGTATATTTCAAGAGAAATTTTTCTCAAGAGCATAAAATGTTGTTGGCCAGCCTAAAATATATTCTTTGTTTTTAGTAATCATTTTTGAAAAGTAGTATTTTAAATATTAACAGTTGCTATTGAGATTTTTGCATGTATATGGAACCTCTTACAATTAGTTTCAAATCTCTGTTTTACTGAAAATTCTTAGTAGAATTATCTTAGACATACTTCTGCCTTTTAGGTAACCTAAAAGATGTCTAAAAGTTAAGACTTTTCATATTACCTAGTTCTGGGCTTGGGTTTTATGGTTTTTGTTTTTTCTTCTTGCATTGTTTTCTATCATCTGTAAGAAATGATCTCTGTGTTCAGCTGTTGCTAGGAATCTTCATATATTTTCTGTTTAAAGAAATCATATATACTATATTTTCTTTGTTTTGTACTATTTTTCTTTAATTAAGACACTTATAAGATGTTATGAAACCTGTAAAAGTAAAATGTATCCCAAGTGAATCACAAATGGTCATCTTTTGAAAAATAGTATTTATTGTTATAGCATTTGAAGAAAATTACAATGAAATTCTTTGGTAAATGAGAAGTTGTAGTTTTATTATCTAAAATTTATTCTCTTTCTCTTCGATAGGTAGGATGTGGTGCCATAGGCTGTGAAATGTTAAAAAATTTGGCATTACTAGGTGTTGGTACAAACAGAGAGAAAGGAATGGTAAGATGTCTTTTAAGAGTTTAACATTTATATTTTACGTAGACCAGCCTGGTTTTCAGGTAGATCATTAAACCACAAATTGGAAGGTTCTAATTTACTTCTGGTCACTTTTAAGTGACAGATTCTCTGTTCCTCAGTTCTTAACTCTGTAATTCCCTAAAACTGAAACTGTCAGTCTTCTTGTAGTTACCATTATGATCAAATTGGAAAGGAACCTTTGTTATCATAGTTTTGCAAACTGAAAACCATGCTATTCTTGTTATACTATTCATTTTTAATTAAATATTATCATGAGAGATGGCATTAGAATGTTGCAGAGTACTCGTACAGTTTTATTGGTTACTTTCAAACAGTGGGAATACCACATACTTGGTGTAAAGTTAAAATTCTTCAGACTGAGTTAATTGCAGAATCATGTCATATTTAAAATGTTTTTCATTGGTGGTATTTTACCTCTTAATATAAAAACTTTCATTAGTGACTTCATATATTTGTCTTGGTAACTAACAATGACACTACATAAATAACTAAAAACTATATGATAATCCACATTTTCTCTTATTGTTTTAGTTTTAGAAGGAATTCATCATTATCATAGCTATAGGTCAGTACACATATTATCCATGGTTGGCCTTTCTATACTGTTTTCCACAAACCATAATTCTGTTGGCTTAAAAAAGTTATTTGGGTTTTTTGTTTGTTTGTTTTTTGTTTTTTGGGTTGCTTTTTTTTTTTTGTGGTGGAGGTTGTTTGTTTTTTAAATCCCTTCTTTTACTATAAGCTTGTGGGTCACTTGACTTTTCTAACTGTATGAAAAGTCACAGTGCTTTTAGTAACTAAAGTTGAGGACAAGCTATAATGAAGAAAACCTACTGACATCAAATAGCAAAATAAAGCCTGTAATGTGGGCAGGACTTTGTCATTCTGAACAGAAACTTACTGTAGCAAAACTGTGAGTGTTCATACCCAAGAAGGAAAGAAATGCCCAGGTACCTAGGATTAAGAGAGAAATGAACCTTGAGTTAAGCACCAGGTACATTTCCCCCCCTATCTTTGATGTCTAAAACTAAGTAGAAAAGGAAGTCACTCACCAGAAAATAAGAACTTTAGCCCATGTTCCATACTCATATATGTACCCAATGTTATATGGGGTAAAGTTTCAAGCAGAGATACTGTGATAGAAAGTACAGACCTATTGTGAAACCTTCAAGGTTCTTTCAGTAGGTGTAAAATTCAGTCACAAACCCAGAGCACATACATAGGCAGAACAAACATTATCCTTTGAGAAGTCACATTTTAAAAGATAGCACTCTGGGCTGGTGAGATGTTTCATGAGGTAAAGATGCTTTCAACCAAGCCTGACAACCTTATTTTAATCCCAGGGCCCCAACCAGTAGAAGGAGAGAACTGATTTCCACAATTATCCTTTGGTCTTCACACCCTGGCATATTCATGCCCATACAACATATACCTACACATACACACAGAGACGCACTTCATGTGCCTAGTACAGTTTGTGCATGTGTGCTCACACATACACAGAAAAATACATGTAATTTAAAAAAAATTAATGGCAATAGAGAAGGAACTACTTCATAGAAGAATTAACTATCACAAAGTCCCTTGTGACATACTAAAAAGGGAAATACTGCTGGTAATAGAAATATATACATATAATAGAAAAGGCTTTAAATTTAAAAACAAAGATACAGAGAAGTATCTTTAAAGGAGAAAGGGTACAGAAAGAGGTTATAGAAGAGATATCTGAGTAGCAGGCAGTGTGGGACAGTAATAGATATTTCCTTTATATTGAGAGGGGGAAATGACTGTCAACCTACATTTCCATATTCAGTTATCTTCCAAGAAGGACAGTAAAGGTATGTGACTTGTAAATGAAAGGTCTGTTACATGATGTAGGCATGCATGAAGGAGAAACCTACATACTTAGATTTAAGTAAGCAGAATTATTTAGTTTTAAAACCTTTATGTAAAAAATAAGTGATTTAAAATTGGGAAAATGGTTTTTAAAAATCTTACCAAAAGCATTCATCTAGAGCATGGAAAGTTTACATAATTAAGAATAATTTTAGAATTATTTTTCTGTATGAGCCTAGGTCCTTGTACATGCTGTTCAAATCCTTTACCACTAAGCTGTATTTCTGGGCCACCTCCCCCTTTTAGATAGTGTCTTGCTGAGTGACCTAGGCTGGCCTTAAGTTTACTTTACAGTTTAGGCAGACCTTGTAGTTAAAAATCCTTCTGTCTCAACCTCTACAGTAGCTGGGATTTCCAGAAGAGAAGCAATATGTTCCAAAATTTGGAACTACGTCAAAATATTTAACTTTGAAAGAAGCATGAAAATTTGGTCAGTTTAGTAGAAGGCAAAGTGGAAAAACACAGGGGAAACAAAAGGGCAAAACATCATTCATCCCAATGATTAATTGGGAGGTACTGTGAGCCTTTAAAAGACAGTGTCCGTTTAGCTTTGTGTTGGCCTTTTGTCACTAACACACCTGAAAAAAACACTCAAATGAAGAAAGGTGTGTTTTGGTCATGGTTTTAGAGGTTTCAGTCTACAGTCTCTTGACTTTGTCGCTGTAGGCTTTCAGTGAGGCAGACTTCATGGTGGAGCTTCTCACCTCTTAGAAGCCCAGAATCAAAAGACATAGTGAGCCTTCTTACAGACACTGTATCCAAATCTTACAGACTATTTGTAGTTGTTAAATTCATAGATACCCTCCTCTGTGAGTTCAAGGCCAGCCTGCTCTACAGAGTGAATTCCAGGACAACCACGATTACACAGAGAAACCCTATCTTGAAAAGCCAAAGAGAGATAGAGGCAGACAGACAAACAACATCCTCTCACATAAAATTCCACAAAAATGTAGGCACATATATGGGAAAAATTACTAAAAGAAAATGAATGTGTGAACAGCAGTTAGCGCCTGAAACTGGATTCTGCACTGGGCAGTACTGTGCCTTTAGCTTAGTAGCACATGTGTTTTTAGTACTGCACGTTATCTTGGCTCTGCTTGTTTCAGATTTAGAGTCTAAGCTTTCTTAGAGGTCTAAACTGAAGTATTTTAGGCCTGTAGATCAACTACCTGTGACAGCTAGTCGTCTCAGACCTGAGAGTATCCAAACAGCCACAGACAGAAAATTATTTTTAAAAGTTCTCAATTGCTTTATAGTTTATAGATTCTGCCTTAGTTGGAGCTCCTGTAAAATTGAAGCATGATAGCATTCTTCCCAAATTACTTCAGATTAAGAATATTGGACCTAGCAAGATGGCTTACCAAGTAAAGGTACTTGCCATCAAACCTGATTTCGCTTGATCCCCAGGACCAATCCATGGAAGGAGACAAAGGACTTTTGCAAAGTTGTCATCTGACTTCCATACTCAATATGTGGGCACACATATCCACACTCACATGTGCTCATCATTCCCTCACACATACAACATATCCAATAATAATTTTTAAAAAGGATATATGTCATAAATTTAGAAAAGATATAGCTCTTGTGGGTAATTAATTTTGTAGGTCTAAAAGATGATAGGGATATTTTTAGTCTTCAAATAAAGAAATTTTTTTAGAAAGTTTTGATGAGTTTAAATCATTTGTGTTGTTTGATATGCTCATGTACCAAATATTTAATTGTAATTAATAGATCTAACAATGATAGTATATTATTTGTAACTATTTGGGAATTTTTAAATGACTTTTACTAAGCAAAAATGATTTGACAGTGCTGATTCGGTCATATTGAGAAACGCAAAACACGTTGATTTGTTTTGTTCTCCTCTGATATAAGGTTACAGTTACAGATCCTGACTTGATAGAAAAATCCAACCTAAACAGACAGTTTCTGTTTCGTCCTCATCACATACAGGTTTGTCACTGCTTTCTTATCATAAATAGATAATGGTTGCTGGATAATCCTGTTTTTTGTTTATTTGTTTTTTGTTAGATTCTTAAGAAAGAAAGTGTTCTTTGGGAAGAACAAAATGAAATTTAAAAATTATCTTTCACGCACACTAAAATTGTTTTTTTGCATTGGTTTTGGATATCAGTACTTGAGTTGCAAAACATGAGTAGTACTTTTTTGTTTTGTAATCACAAAAGTATGTTTACATAAACAGATTCTCTAATTTGAGGTTTTAATAAAGCACAAACCTTAACACTATATTTTGTTTTTGTTATAAAACAGGTAAAGCTTAGTGTTTAAAATTGCTATACCACTTTTGTTTAACATCCTCTTTTAGTATAAAAGACTACTTAGTCATCTCAAAGTTCAAAATATTTAAATCAGGAAAAGAAACAGGGAATGCATGGTAGCTCACACCTTTAATCTCTGCACTCAACGGCAGAGGTAGGTGGTTCTCCTCAGTTTCAGGTAGAGCCTGGTCAAAAACAGTGAATAATAGGCTAACCTAGTTACATGGTGAAACACTGAAAAACTGAATAGAAAAGAAAGAAATGTGTTAATCAAAAACACATTCTTTTAGTTTTAATTTTTTCTTGTATTGTTAACTCATTGTCAATCTTAGGAAATGAAATTTAGACATGTTATGTACAAGAAGTGACTACAATAGGTGTCATAGTTAGTTAACCTGATATCCTCTTACATAAATGTAAAGGACATAATAACAAACTCTCTTGTGAATTAAAATGTCTTATTAAAACAATTCACTGTGTGTGTTATCTCTAGATGAAGAATTATTTGTTAATTTCCTGAGTTCTAACAGTTTCTGACTTTGTTCTCATAGTAAGAAATAAAACATGATAGCCTTATAAACTGAGAAGAAACAGAAAGACCATTAAACCAGGTCTACAGATTCAAATGTAGATTCAGAGCCAGTATTCAAAAATGGACCTTCTTAGCATCTGAAGTGATACAAGAGTCAGTGTGGCTAAACATTTAGTTTTAAAAAATTATATGTATTTTAAGACTTAAGTAGTATTTTAAAAAGTATTTTAAGATCTCTAAAGCACTTTGCCACACAATGAAAGTTGTTTAAACTATGTTATATGTAAATTATTTGAGCTAGTTTCATTACTTTGCTGTCACCTCATATATATTCCAAATAATGAGAATATTTAAATTGTCATAGTTCATCTTTTCTGTTTAACATTTATTCCTTCTGTTTTTATTTGTTACTTGTTTAGAAACCTAAAAGCTATACTGCTGCTGAAGCAACTCTGAAAATAAATCCTCAATTAAAAATAGATGCACACCTGAACAAAGTTTGTCCAGCCACTGAGAGTATATACAGTGATGAATTTTATACTAAGCAAGATATCATTATTACAGCACTAGATAATGTGGAAGCCAGGAGATATGTAGACAGGTATGTTCTTGAAATCCAAGTGCATAAAGAACTACTATTACTTTTGTTTTCACCTTCACTTTTTAAAAAATTGCCAAATTTTCTAATTATTTTTATGTCATTCTACTAGTACTACTCCAGTTCAAGCATGCTAATGATTTCCCATTATTCATAGGCAAATTCAGTATTGTTAAAACAGCCTAAATGTTTTTATGCAAGACCGCCTGTCCACTGCTGCCTCTTTAGATGTGCCCATCTTTCCTGGCTCTCCTTATTCTGACTATCTGTGTCTTCTTTAAGGTCTTCAAAGGCCTTTTTACCTTAGGTTTTTGGCCTCTGGAAGCTGTATTTCTTTTCCTTCAAAATTCTTGTCCCCAAATGTACTGCCAGTTCTTCCGTTTAAGATGTTCCCTTGTCCTCCAGTTTCATCTTGAATATCTTTTTAACACAGACATTAACTTCTGAATCTGCTTTTCTTAATACTTTTTCATTATGGCACTTTTGTTGACATGTGTTTACTTAATGTTTGTTTCTTCACTAGCTCTTTCATCCAAAGACCATTTATTTTCTACCATTATATTTTTAGTATCAGTCATCTGATTTGATTCAGTGTAACTTATGAAATCAGTCATTGAATATGACTTCAGTGTTTAGGATACTAGAGTATATATCAGAGAAGATTTGCCAGTTGAGAAGTGAGAAAGACGAATCTTGAGCAGCAGAAAGAAAAAAATTATTGTACTTATTTTTGGGTGTGTATGTGTTAGAGGGATAGAGCACAAAAAACTTTAGGTATTTGAAATGTAAAACATTACTATGATAGTATTTAGTAAATACTGCTTGGGTTTAAAGACAAATTGAGAAGATATGGTGTGGCAGAACTTACAGGCAAAAAGTAACCAAATAATAAGTAGAAGGTAAGTGAAGAAAGAATAACGCAGTTAATAATTAAGGTGCAAATAGAAATTAAGGGGGAAAAACCCTAGGACTTAGTAATAGTAATTTGGAAGAAACATAAATTACTAGGTTGAAAAACATTTTATGTTTGTGATATGGCTAGCAAGTACAACTGATAGATGGATCATGTTCTCTTTGCTATAACAGTGTATACAGAAATGATCAGTATATGGAATAGTAAATAAGCAGCAGTTAGCTGTCCTTTGTTTACTGTTATTGATAACTTTGTGTTCTTTTGTTTGTTTTACATATTTTGTTTCCAAATAGTCGTTGCTTATCAAATCTACGGCCTCTCTTAGATTCTGGAACAATGGGCACAAAAGGGCACACTGAAATTATTGTGCCTCAATTGACTGAATCTTATAATAGTCACGTAAGTCAGTATATTGAATAAATGTCTTTTTTAAATCAGTTTTTTTTCTTTATCGAGGAATCAGTAAGTTGGACTTTGCTTATTAATCTTGGTTTCAGCTCTGGCAGTCTGGTTACTATGTAGTGCACGTGTATTTTTAAATATGTCACACATGTCTTTTTAAGTGTTCAGGTGGTGGGAGCAGGGGATATAGATGTGTCAAGGCTAGAGTTCAATGTCAGTAGTCTTCTCTAAGTTTTTGAGACCGGTCTCTCACCGAACCCTGGAAGTCTAGATTTGACTTAACTCATTGGCCAGCAAGTCCTCTCACCCTGTCTCTGCCTCTCTAAGGCTAAGATCACATGTGCATACCTTTGTACCCAGCTCTTACAGAGAAGCTGGAGAACAAACTTAGATCCTTAGACTCACATAACATTATACAAACGGAGGCATTGCCCCACACCCTGAATATAATATGCAGAAACCATCATTTTTTTTTCTGGGATAGTCTTCTTTACTATTTCTCAGAACTTTTAAGTAAGAACAGTTATGAACTTTTTTTTATTAAAAATGGAACTGTACCAGAGACTTGGAGTCATGTCCTTTTCTGATCTTTTGGTTTTACTCTGTTAGATATTAGCTGACATGTAAAAAATGAAGAATACAAATATAATAATTATGTGCTCATTTCTAATGTTTATCCTCATTAAAAATGTATGCCCTTAGCATACATTATTAGAAATATTTGTGAAACCTGGTTGTAAAAGTACCTTTTATTCACCAGATATAATTGTCATCTCTGAGGCTTACTACCACCATCTGCTAACCTAGGCCTAGTCCTAGAAGCTTCTAGCCTCTGTACAATCTAATCTAGGCTTAGAATACTGCTGGATAAGCTCACCCTTTCTAGCTCTTTCTGAACCCTGGCTGGCTGGTTCAATCAGCTGTTTAGGCTCAAACTCCTTTGCAAGCTGACTGATTCAAATTGGCTTCCCTCAGCTTCTATCTGATTTGCTATGCTTGGCCTCAAACTAACTCTAGCAATCTGTTCTAATCTGCTGCCTCCTCATTCTCCGGCTCATTCACCTGTGTCTAGCTTCTCACTCTTCACCCTGTCTCAGTAAAACCCTCCTGGTAAAACTTTCTCTTCTTCCCTCCATCTTCCTCCCACCCCATTTTCCCGCTGCTCTCTTAAGTTGCCTCTCTTTCCTGTCTGTTCTCGTGAGAGTTGGGCATATACAATTCTTTAAAATCTTTTTATTTGTTATTTTGTCTTCCTCTCAATTAGAAATGAGTGCTTCCTTCTACAAACTAACCTTACCTTCATTGTTAGGGATTAAAGGTGTATTCTAAGGGCAAGTCTATATTCTAGCTAGAGTAGCCATGTTACTGGATTAAAATCCCTCTACACTTAGTAAAAATGTAAACCTGGTAATTTACCCAGGAACTACTTGAAAAAAAAAAAAAAAATTAGATTCTTCAGTGATGGAACCAAGCTGTATGTGTATATATATTTTAGGTAGATAGTAAAATGTAACATTTGACCCCATTAGTGATTTTTATAATATTGATAAAGTTGAAACTGGGTCTAGGAAATAATTGTAGGCTCTATAATTTAAGAATGAACAATTCAAGTAAAATAATTTAAGGCATATGATTTTTATAAGTATTGGTGTCCCTCAACTTAAAGGCTATGTTTGGATTAATAAATTTTTTTAATTCTTAGGGTTTGCTATTTTCTGATTTTCTTTCATGAAATACACCGATACATGTAATACAATATAATAATTGTAATATAATATAAACTAGTGTTTAATTATAGTATTAAATATATGAAAGTTGCTATAGAAAGATTTTCACAGTAGAGAATTCTCTTATTCTACTACAATTGTTAAACATCCTCCTTTTTTATTTTAAACTCTTGTAAAGCAGATTTAATATTTTTATAGGGTCTTTCTTTAAATTATAAAAATTTAGCAGTAGCTCATAAACCAAATTAAAATAGAGATCTCTTTCAGTAAAAAGGCATAAATTGAGTCATTTTTGACTGTTCAGTCAAAATTAGACTAATCCTTTTAGTCTTTTACAGTCTAGGTTGTAAACACTCTCTAATAGACAAGGAGATCTCCAATTGTGCGTGCTTCCTCTAGTAAGACAACCTAATCATTCTTCATATATTTAATCTATAATTTCTCTGAGTCCTATTCCCAAATGTTTTTCTTCATATAGAGACTTGGGGTATACTGAGAACATATTTAGTAAGGATTCTTGAATCACTTTTCAAAGTTGGAAGTATTATGAAATTTTACACTTCACCTGAATTTTTCTAGAAAAAAAATTAATAATGTATGGTGGCCTGCCATTAGGATTTTTTTCTGCCACACGACACTAGTACCTGCTGATAAATAAAGATGGATGGGTTGGTTTGTCATATGACTTTTAACAGGTTAGATGTACAAGGAATTAAGTTTTGTTTTTTATTACATAAGATGACAGATATAAAAATGAATGATAGGCTTTATTTTTAGACTAGTCAGACTGAAAATTTAGTCAGATATTTGGTTTTACTTTTTATTTTTCAATAGCGGGACCCCCCAGAAGAGGAAATACCATTTTGCACTCTAAAGTCCTTTCCAGCAGCTATCGAACATACTATCCAGTGGGCAAGAGACAAGGTAAAAGTTCCTTCTAATGAATTTGTCTTCTCTTAATTAGAAAAGCAGTATTATAACTTCTAAACATACTTGTACCTTTTTTTTCTCTTGACAGTTTGAAAGTTCCTTCTCTCACAAGCCTTCATTGTTTAACAAATTTTGGCAAGCCCATCCTTCTGCCGAAGATGTCTTACAGGTAAAAAGAATGCTTTTTACTGCAGACCGGATACTTTATGTCAGTATGAGCTTAATTTCCACTTAAAAATAAAAACCTTCTTCAAGAAATAGGAGTGTTTAATAACTTGATCACAGTGAAATGTTAAACTGGGATTCCTGGAGTGAGGTAACAGAGAAGTTGTTTTTTAATTTTGTTGTTGTTGTTGTTGTTGTTTTTAAGCTTAATTGAACTATATGTAAGTCACTGGCCTTTTGAGGTCCTCCCCTAGCAGTGGACTGGAAAAGGGGTATGGGAGGCGATGAGGGAGGGAAGGAGAGCAGGATTGGGAGGGGACGAGGATGGGGGCTGCAGCTGGGATAAAAGTGAATAAATTGTAATCAATTTTTAAAAATATATTATAAAAAATAAATAAAATTTTAAAGAGTCTTTGTGGCTGAACCAAATGAGGGTATAATAATAGTGAGAAAAGAGAAACAGATAATCAAAAGTTTTAGTAAACTCTTTAGGGAAAAAGTGAAAAGTCAGTACAAGTGAAAATAGTCATGGCTGGACAGTAGCCTTATTGCTTTCATAAGGTGAACTTCAAAATACTGCCTTTTGCTTAGTCATACACAACTAGAGAGGTAAAATGTTTTTACTTTTATTCCTTTAACTCAATAGACAAAGGTCCTCTTTGATACTTAGTATCTTACTAAACATAGGAAAACATGAAGATATGTTTTGAATTAAGAAACTTAAAAACTAAATTTTTATTTACTATCCCTTTCTATTCCCTTCATAATTAAAAAAGAAAAAAAGAATGAGAGAAAAGGGCTTGACACCCTCCTCCCCCACCAAAAAAAAAAGACTGAAAATACTAAGCCTGTGCATTAATCTTCTGTATTGTTTGGCTTGTAGTTGAAGGTTTTTTCCATTTTATTCTAGAAGATACAAAATGGACAGAGTCTAGAAGGCTGTTTTCAAGTTATTAAGCTACTTAGCAGAAGACCTAGAAATTGGTTCCAGTGTATAGAATTAGCAAGACTAAAGTTTGAAAAATATTTCAACCATAAGGTAAGTGTATATTCTGAAACATTAAGTGAAGGTTTGTTCTTGACTCATTTATTTATTACTAATATCCCTGACTTAAAATGTCTGTTCTAGCCAGGAATAGTCATGCACGCCTGTAATCCCAGTACTCAAGGAGGCAGAGGCAGGTGGATCTCTGTGAGTTCAAGGCCAGCCTGGTCTACAAAAGTCCAGGACAGCCAAGGCTACACAGAGAAACCCTGTCTCAAAAGAAAAAAATAAAACAAAAAGCAAGTAAAACAAGAAAACCCTATAAATAAACAAAATGTCTGTTCTTTTCTTTCACCAAGCCTTTCAGAAATAGTTAACTGGGAGTAAAGGCTAGGAATTTGGCCACTCTCTCTTTAAATGTTATTACTTAAAACACTTAGCCTCCACTTATTGGCTTGATTTGTCAGCTATGCATTGAACTGACCCTAAGTGTAAAGTTGGGTTTTGGATAGCTTTTTTCTCTAGGTAAGAAGGAATGCATTGATTTTGTAGTCTAAAGAAGTTTGTTTAGAATAGAAACAAGAAACTGATAATTCAGGTGGAAATTTTGTTCAAATTTTGCCATTTCCAGCAGTAACTCATAAATACATTTTATGTGTTTTCATCACCTGAAAAGCTAAAGTAAGACATACAGAATACAGTGTAGTATTAGGTATCAAATAAGCTAATCCATATAATTAATTAGGATAGGCCAAGGCATCTAGTCATACTGGTCACATGCCTAACAGACTATATCTTCTAATTTTTAATCTCTCCCTTAGTTTAGAGTAAAAGGGCCAAGAAAAAAATGCTCTGCCCCTAACTTGACCTTGAGGCCAGGGCCAAGAAAAAGAATCCTACCAATCCCTGATTTTCGCCCGAGATCAAACCACTCTAGAAAGCCCTCGCTCCTCCAAGAAATTCTTATAAAACCAGCCTTCTGCTCAGTTCCTTGCTGCTTTTTATCCAGTTTACACTTAGGTCCTTACCTTATAAGGTTATTCTATTTACAAAAAAAAATCTTTGGGGCTATACTAGTTTTTCCACTTCTTCTATGATCTACTTTTTTTTTTTTTCATAGCATCTATTTTTTTTTAATTTACTTTGTATCTCCCTCCCTTGTCCCCTCCCAATCCTATCCTCTCTCTCACATCTCCCATGTCCCTCCTCAAGTCCACTGATAGGGGAGGTCATCCTCCCATTCCCTCTGACCCTAGCCTAGCAGATCTCATCAGGACTGGCTGCACTGTTTTCCTCTGTGGCCTGGTAAGGCTGCTCCCCATTTCAGGGGAAGGTGATCAAAGAGCAGGCCACTGAGTTCATGTCAGAGACAGCCCTGTTCCCATTACAGGAACCCACTTAGAGACTGAGCTGCCATGGGCTACATCTGTGCAGAGGTTGTAGGTTATCTCCATGCATGGTCCTTGGTTGGAGTATCAGTCTCAGAAAAGACCCCTGTGCCCATAGTTGTTTCTGTTATTCTTCTTGTGGAACTCCTGTCCTCTCTAGCTCTTTATATCTCCCCCTTCTTTCATAAGATTCCCTGCACTCTACCCAAAATTTGGGCATCTGCTTTTGATACCCTGCTGGGTAGAGTCTTTCAGAGGCCATATGTGTTAGGGCTCTGTCTTGTTCCTTGTTTTCTTCCTCTTCCAATGTCCATCCCATTTGCCTTTCTGAATGGGAGTAATCATCTTACCCAGGGTCCTCCTTGCTTAGCTTCTGTAAGTGTACAGATTTTAGTAGGTTTATCCTATGTTATATGGTTAATATCCACATATAAGCGAGTATATACCATGTGTGTCTTTCTGTTTCTGGTATACCTCACTCAGGATGATCTTTTCTAGTTCCCACCATTTGCCTGCAAATTTCATGACTTCCTTGTTTTTAATTGCTGAGTAATATTCCGTTGTGTAAATGTACCACAATTTCTGTATCTATTCCTCAGTTGAGGGACATCTGGGTGTTTCCAGATTTTTAGAGAAATGTTCTAAGCTTACTTCTCAAGAAATAGGACATCATTCCTTAATATCCCACCTGTTTCTAGCATAATTATCAGTGTGTTACAGCTCTCAGGGAAAAGTGTCCTGACAGTCTGGAGACAAGAAATATCAGAAAGTCACACCATACAACAACCTCACACAAGAGATTTATTAGAAAAGACACAAGGGGGGTGGCTGCCTTGGCTCAGGAGAGAAACAGCAAAGAACTGAGCAAGAGGCAGGCTTTACCTGTATTGCAGGGTGTGAGGGTGGGGAAGTGTTGCTTTTTAGAGTGGCCTGGGATTCAAGGGCTTTTTGGGTTTTTTTTTTTTTTTCTGCTCGGCAGGGCCCTAACCTCTCCAGCCTCAAGGGGCTTAGAATCAGTGACCTCTTTATTTCTCATAACTCTCTTTAGTTTCTTCTAAGATCTCTCTTATGGTTGTGTTTTTGTTTATGTTGGGTTTTATTTTTATTGTTTTTAGTTATTTGTTTTAGAGGGGTGGGAGTGTTCATACCAAAGTGCTCATGTGGAGGTCAAAAGAAAAATAACAGTCATTTCTTTCCTCCATGTGGGTATTAGGGATCAGACTCAGGTTATCATGTTTGGCAATAAGCAGCTTTATGTGCTGAGCCCCAGTGCTATTTTGATTGATTCTTTTATTATAGAAAAAAAATGAACCTGGAAATATATGAAAATAGTATAATGTCCAAAGTAATCATGTTTTTACCTTTCACATCAATTTAAACATTATCAGTTTACAGATCTGTTTCATATTCTCACCCTCTTCCGAGCACATCTTTTGTATTTGGTTTTATATTTGTTGTAAGGATTAGCTGTTAGACAAAATCAAAATGATGTGTAAAATATTTTGTAAGAGAGAAGTAAAGTAAGTATAAAAAGGCTATAATTGTTTGGGCAGGACAGTAGAAAACATAAACTGATTCATGCATGACTACAAGACCTCACAGTGTATATTTTGACTTTGTTTTGTTTGATTTATGAAGCCTGAGCAAATATGAACAAAGCTTTTTTTTTTTTTTTTTTAATTTCAGGGTTTTTTTTCTTCAGATAACAAATAGGGATTTTTTTTTCCCCTTCTTTTAGGCTCTTCAACTTCTTCACTGTTTTCCTCTTGACACACGATTAAAAGATGGCAGTAAGTATAACTATTGAGAACAAATCACAGTGTAACATACTGTATATGACCTGTATTCATTGAAGATAATATTTTATCTTTTTACTAGGTTTGTTTTGGCAGTCACCAAAAAGGCCACCTTCTCCAATAAAATTTGATTTAAATGAACCTTTGTAAGTATATGTGTATATTTTAACTGTAAATTTCTTAGCTATACACTGAAGAGTCTTCAATGTTAAATGATTTATCTCTTAATCCAAAAGTTAACGAGTCATTGTAGTCAGCAAAGCTAACAACATCCTTCCTACACAAATGTGTGTCCATTTATTTATATGGTAAATATAAAGTTTGTAGTAACTGCTCCATTAAAAGCAATGTGACCTACTTTTTGCTCATATGAAAATAAAAAGATTAATCTTCTCACACTAAATAAATAAAGCTAAGATGCCTTACATATGTGAAAATAGAGTTAATATGGCCTTCATAAATTAATCAAATAAGGTTTTAGTTTGTCTCTGTGTGAATGCCTGGATATGTGCATTTGTTTTTAGATTGCAGTTAGTGTGTCCTCGTCAAACGCTCAGCTTACCCTTAGTCTTCCTTTCTACAGATAGCACTTTGCTTCATTTTCCCAGGTCTTCATATCTCAACATACCTAATCCTAAATTGCCTTTCCAATATGGCATACCTTTTTTTTTTTAAGTAAATTTGTTTCAAACCTAATGCATACTCATTCATACCTGATGCATATTTTCTAATGAATTAAAATAACTTTTTCCCGCATATTCTAATAGTTCTACCTTTTGTACTCACTTTTTTTGTCACAGCAGTCCTACTGACTACTTAAAAATAGTGACTGATTTTTTGGTGGGGGGAGTCTTGTTTTTTCGAGAAGGTTTCTCTGTGTAGCCTTGGCTGTCCTGGACTCCCTTTGTAGACCAGGCGGGCCTCAAACTCAAAGAGATCCATTTTCTTTTATGTTTTAGTCTAGGCAAGAATTTCATTGTCTTAATTTTTAAGGGGGTAAAAATCAAGTATCCAAGAAAAATTATGTAAGTGTAATTCTTGTGTTAATAGAAAGACTATATTTCCTACTGACTTAAATATCTTCTTTAAAATTGCCATTCAAACTGCTTTATTTTTATTTTCATTTTAAAAGGCACCTCAGTTTTCTTCAGAGTGCTGCAAAACTATATGCTACAATATATTGCATTCCATTTTCAGAAAAGGTAAGATACTCTCCAGAATATAGCAAGTGATTCAAAACCCAACTTGAATTAGTTGGTGGCATCAGAATTTGTCTTTGAGATTATAAGAATCATTCTTCTCTTTTTTTCACTTGTTTGAGACATGAGCTCAGAGCTGAGGCTAGTCCAAAATTTACTTGTAGCTGGAACTTGTCTTGAGCTCCTTAAATGCTCAGATTAAAGGCATGTGCCTTCATGCCCAGCTAGAATAATTCTTTGAGATTCAAAAAGAAAAATGTTTTATTTTGTTATGTTATATGTTATTATCCATTCTAACTTGCAGAAGCTGTGTACTCATGGCAGTCACCAAACCTGGATCTGTATTTAGCGTGGATAAGCCTGTTGCAGATTAATCTTTCTTGGAAATAAAATCATATAAAAGTCTAGGAAAAGCTAATAGTATTCAGTCTTCTGTTAACTAACCTCAAAAGCAGTATGTCTCGGTTTTTCATGGGTGCTTCCAAGTGGTAAATGTGGATATAGGTTCATCTAGTTCAACTTGAACTTGTTCAAGTTGTTTCTTGCTTCTCGATGGATAAATATGATTGATTTATTGAGCATAACATTATTCAGAAAAGGTAAAGCTTTAACACTGAGGAAAAGGGAAAAAAATGCTCTTTTTTAAAATTTGCAAAAAGAACCAAGATTTAAAGTTTGTTAACTAATAAGTACACTTTCACTGCAAGCCTCCTTCCTCCAGTAGCCTTTATGGCTGATAATTTTGGACAAAATGGAGATTAATTTTTCAAATGTATATAAATAATGCTGGAGATGTGTTGTTTAATTAAATCGCTAAATAGTTGGTTTGATAAAAGGACCTTTTTTTAAATAGAGTTTTTAACCTCAGAGATTCGGAGTTCAAAGAAATTTGTTGATAAAATTAGCTTCTCTCTGCCTGGAGAGATGACTCAGAGGTTACGAGCATGGGCTCTTCTGAGATCAATTCCCAGCAACAACATGGTGGCTTTACAACCATCTATGAGATCTGGTGCCCTCTTTTGACATGCAGGCAGAACACTGTCTACAGAAATGTTTAAATAAATATCTTTAAAAAAGTAATAATAACTTCTCTCATAAAATAGGACTTATCAGTGGATACCCTCATGGATATTCTTTCAGAAGTTAAAATTGAGGAATTCAAGCCTTCCAACAAGGTAAGATAGAAGTCCATTTACTTAACTAGTGTTGTTTATAATAAATCACACTCTCAGCCTGAAGAATCCCAGAATGAACACCTAAAGCCTGCTCTAGCTGGCCTACCACTTGGGCTAGTGCTGAAGGCCAAAAGCAGCTTCCAGCCTTCATCAGAGGAGTCTGAATACTGTGAGAGCAGGAACAGCTGTTACTTCAAGAAAACAGGTAGGTGACAGGGGCTTTAGTGATGAGGTAACTAATAAGACAGATGGGACAGAACTGGATTCTTCGCATACATTGCGATAGTCCTGGCAGAATTTCTCAGGATTTGAAATTGAAAGGATCTGGGGGAAAGACTGCTAGTTTCTTCAGTGAAATCAGTAAGTTAACAGTTCAGGATGAAGCTAGGAAAATGAAAAGAACATACAGTAATTGAGAGCAGAGTAGAAAAGTCAATTGAATGGTGTAAACAGCACTGAGGATGCATATAACGCTAGTGTGTGTGATGTATTCTACTGTAGCTTGCCATAACGTTCAAGCACATTTAGCTTTGGTACCAATGAGACACTTGTATGTGCTGCTAGATAAATGGAAAATTTGATAATTATGCCCAGAAAGTATCCTAGAAACCATCAGAACCTAAGACATAGGCAGTGAAAATAGGAAAATTGGCAGAAGAAAAAAATATTTCTTGAATACTCTAAAAATTAATCACAAACAACCATCCTCAAGGAAGTGATATGTTTAGGTTGTCTACATTTTTATTGTGTAGAAAGGGATCTTTGTAGCCAGTGGATTTTTTCATAAGTTTTCTCCCAGCAAGCCTGCTTGGAGCAACAAAGCACATCTGAAATGACTTTGCAAACTAACAAATCATTATTTTTTCAGTAATTACCATCTTTATGTGCTATTGAACGTTTTATGTTGAAAATTTTATGTTAATCGCCAAGAAATGCTTAAATATATTGCTTTAGAGACATTACAGAAATGACCATAAGGTGAACATGGTGTAATGAAATACATAAATGAACTAATTTTCTCATGTTCCCTTTGTTCACTGTGTTTACGGTTCATCTTTTTCCAAGGCTTTTTTGATGACTGATAATTCTGAAGAAATATGTTGTCTATCCAAAATATTAGATAAAGGTCATTGTTGACATTACCCTACTTGGTTGTTGAGAAGTACATTTTTTTACATTTTAAAAAGACAGTCATGATTGGCAAGACTTGAATAGACAAGCTTGGACTTAATAAAAATTAAAATGAACATCAGTGAAAAATTTTCTAAAGGTATATGAGAAACCAACTTAAATTTCATACACTGAATGTCAAGTCTGTTCAGAAGGTCAGAACTTAAGTATATTATGAATGCTGTTTTATTTACTTGAAATACAAATTAAATTTATTGAAATTGACCATATTTCAATCACTTTTTCTTTAGCTAGCAGAATCTTTCAGTCCATTAAGTTATTTCATCATCTTACTTATTTTTATATACATTTATAGCACATCCAGTATCCTTTTAGATAAAAAAGAAAACATTTAAAAAGTAAGACCATTCAAATGCTTTTGTGTGTTTCAAAACACATTACTTTTCTTGTATGTCACTTATGGTCTGTTTGATATACATATGAAAATAATTTCACTCAAAGAAGAGTGCAAGGTATTATTGGAGTTTCAAATTTTGTATGAACAGAATATTTTATTTGCAGTTAGCTTTACTTAAAGTATTTCATAAGTAAGAACTTACTACATTTAAATTTACTATTGAAATACTCCTTAAAGAATCATATTAATCCTTTCCCACTTTCTGAAGGAGACCTCATGAACAGTAGAGCTAGTTTTGCTCCCTTTAAATTTAGTTCAGTTTTAGTGTATAAGAAAAAAAAAAAGCAAATTTGTTACCCAGATCCTTTTATGTGACTGAATTTTAGCAGAAAATGTAGTGTACATTTCACTTAATTTTTATAGGTAGAAACATATTAACATTCTATAAGTCTTTGTGTTCTATGTCTGATTTCAGAATGTTTGCATTTTATTAGTAAAGTGAAACAATTACCTTTGGCTCTTTGTCTTTTATATACTTAGAATTACAGAGAATAAAGTATTTGTTAGTTCAACCAGTTTAGCTATTAGAAAAAACATATTCATGACATGTAACCTATATTAACAATATAATGATAGTAAATTAAGAGTAAAGCAGTGTCACTTTTATGAGAAAAGTTTCCAATCCATATATTTTATTATCAAAATTAGACTAAATCCCAGCAAACATGTTCTAGTATGTTTTCTGGCTTGCATTCCTTCTGGTATGACAGTTCAGGGTTAATAGGTTTCCCTGAGCAGTTTAAAGTTTTAATATGGACTGTTTTACAAGTCCTTAAAGTAGCTAACACTGAAGCTTTAAGTCCAGCATGCCGTCATATTATTTATTTGACAGCCAGAATATTAGTTAGACATGATGGCGGAAGTCTCTGTTTTGTTGATTCCTTGATAAATCTTAAGTGTTTGTGATGTTTAATGTCTCAGAACATAATTTGGTGAATTCTTGAAATAAGCAGTACCTTAATAATTTATCATGGATAGACATTCTTTTGGTTCAAAAACATCTACTGATTTTGTGAACTGTCTACTAGGTATTTCCTTAAAGATAAATCAGTTGTGGTGTATGCTGCATTAATGATGCTGTAGTTAGTATATGAAAAAGAACTACTCAGTAATCAGCAAGTATTTTAAGTTCATATTATGCATTTCTTAAATAATTTCATTTTCTTCCTACTTGAATCAGCTACTTAAAATTATGCGATTTAAGTCAAATGTAGATTTTTCGAAGTCAAAACTACTGAATATCAACCTCATTTAAGTGTGGAATTTTAAGACCTCTACCTGTATATGCTACACAGAAAAAAAATTCAAACTTCAATAAGAAACATAAATTGTTTGAGATGTACTGAACCGAGGTGAAGAACCTGGCCATAGCATATACATGCTAGTATATGAAAACAGATAGTAAACAAATATCAAAATAATATTACTGAGGAAGAGATAAATTATACCATAATGCTTAATGATTAGAGACAGTGAGCAGATATTTTGTTTTATGATTTGATTAAACAGATATGTAATAGTCAAACTTGTATTTAAAATGTAATAACAGTAATAAACATATATACATATACTTAAAGGTTGTTCAAACAGATGAAACTGCAAGGAAACCAAACCATGTTCCTATCTCCAGTGAAGACGAGAGGAATGCTGTTTTCCAACTGGAGAAGGCTATTTCATCTAACAAAGCTACCAAAAGTAAGAACTCTTTAAAATAGCTTGGATTAGATAGACTACTTTCCCAAAGAGCCATATTGACAAGTTCATGAGGAAGAATTTTTAATCATAATAGCTGATTGTATCATCATATAAAAGTTTCTGTCTTTTACTCAAGATATCATTCATCATTTTTCTCCTCATGTACTTGCCTTCAGGTTATAAAATCTAATTCTCTAAATTACATTAACTTCTGTGTTACAGTTCTTATTTGTTTTATGCTTCAGATATTGAACAGGTCTAAAAATACAAGCAAATAGCTTGCTTTTAAGGAGCAGAAGATGCGGATTAGCTGAGCATACTAGATCAGCAGGATCAGGAAGGCACAGTCATCCTGAGCTATCTAGTGAGACCCTGTCTCAAAATAAAAAATGTTATTACCTAGTCATACTTTTAGACATGCCACTTTAGGAAAATTTCACAGAAGTCTCTGAGAGACAGACAGAATAAATATATAGATAAACATATGCCTTAATACACATTGAGGTCAGAAGATAACCTTGGATTTTGGTCCTACCGTCCATTTTGTTTGAGAAAGAGCTCTTTGCTGATTTTCTGATGCATACACCAGGCTTGTTAGCCTACTGGCTTCCAGGGATCCTCCTGTCTTTGCTTCCTGTTACTCTGTAGAAGCACTGGGATTACAGATTCTCTCGCTGTGTGTGTCCACCTTTTGTGTAGTAGATTCTGGGTCTCAAAACTCAGGTCCTCATGCTGTGTAGCAAGCTCTTACTGAGCCATCTCCCCAGCCCATTCTTTAATACAGCTGAATTTTTAATTCTTTAAAATCACAGTTAATGTTTATCTGCTTGGGCACACCCTATACCTTCTTTAGTTAGAGAAATCAATATTTCTCAAAGTTTTGTGATTTCATGTGTGAACCAATAAAATTTCAGGGAAAAAATATAACATTAATAATCTTTAAAGTGTTATTGGATTTCACTAAACTGGAAATATTCATAATATACATAAATGACTTTTTTACTTGTCAGAGGTACAATGTTTCAAAGTAATATTTATATGGTAAATTTTGGATTTATAAGAGCAAACCAAAGATTTGCTCTTATAATCTACTTGGAAGCAACTAATGTGCCAAAAGACTTTTTTCATACATTAACTTCTCTAGTTTGGTGGTATTAAAGTCATTGTTTTCAGGTTCTTTTATAACTTTAGTTGCCTACTTCTTTATCATTTTAATTGGTTAATAACAAGAATTTTTGTGATTGATACCTTTATTAACTGAGCAATGCTTTCAGCGGATCCTTCCGCTTGCTAACTTGTATATTTCTTTATTAGAATCTTGTTCCTTGAAAATCTTATACATGTACATTTTGTACATTGCTTTTTATCTCATCAAATCTTTACCCTTAACTAAAGAACATTCTTTTGGTTGCTCTGGTCAGGTAACCTTCAGATGGCAGTGCTTACATTTGAAAAAGATGATGACAGTAATGGACATATAGATTTCATCACAGCTGCTTCCAACCTTCGAGCCAAAATGTATAGCATTGAACCAGCTGACCGTTTTAAAACTAAACGCATAGCTGGTAAAATTATACCTGCTATAGCAACATCGACCGCTGCAGTTTCTGGCTTGGTAAGCTTATTCTTTTAAAAAAAATGCTTCTGTCTTTCCCACATTACCAACCTTAGCTTGCCACTCAGATTTTAGAGTTGAAGGGATAAAAAGTTGGATCATATAACTGAAATTTTTCAAGATATTTCTAAAAATGTAGTAATGTATATCTTTAGATACTACGTATAAATATATTCTAGCATTGAAAAAGAAGCTCAAGATAGCGTGTAGTTGTTCCTACAGCAATGATCTCAGTGACTTTCCCTTCCCTCCTGGGCTTGAGGCAGTAAAAAGAAGGGACCCACCCAACAGCCAGCTGAGGAGTCCTGGACCCATGGCACATGCCAGGTTTGCCTGGATTCTGAGTGCAGCTTACAGGGATCCTGGGGTCCTGGAGGGAGTTCTAGAATTTGAAGAGTACTTGACTGTGAGCACCGAGGGAGAGATAGGCAGACAGGCTTGGAGAGGAAAGATGGAGTGTTTCCATCCTCCCAGAGCACAGGGCTAAGGGCAACAGAGCAGCCCCCACCCATCCTGTCATTTTTCCCAACAGCTCTCCACAGAAATCTTGTTAGCCTCTATGTAAAGGAGGTATTCTTAACATCTACATACTTGAGAATCATTGTTATGACCATTTATTATGCTGTACTCTTTCAGTACTCTAAACTTAGAGTCAGTTATCTGTCCCTATATTGATTGGTTTAAATAGCTTTAGTTTTGAGTTATATCTGCTTTGAAAGTGGGATGATTAAATGGTGAAATAACTTTGTTTACTATATATTCCATAGACTGAACATTAAAAGTAAAATTTACTAAAAATATATAGATCAGTTAAAAAAGAAATGTTTTACTGCAATCATATGGTTGTTCTTACTATTGACAGAGAAATGCAGCAAGACCAATTAAAATCCCAAGTAGTTTTAGACTCTTCAGATACTCAGATTACCTTCTGTTGTCTAGGTTGCCTTGGAGATGATCAAGGTAGCTGGTGGCTATCCCTTTGAAGCATACAAAAACTGTTTCCTTAATTTAGCCATTCCAATAATAGTGTTTACAGAGACTTCTGAAGTACGAAGAAGTGAAATCAGGTATGTAGGAAAGTATGTTTTGTTTATATAATAAAAAAATAAAATATTCCACCCTTAAAAAGGAAACATACTGATTTTCATCCCTATTTCTTCTGTCTTTGTTAATCCTTTTTACTATTTCAGGATCCACTGAAACCTCATTTTGATGAATTATTTCCAAATAGTTATGCCATTTATCATCTTTTGGTTCCTAACTAAGATAATTTTAAAGCCATTCTTGACTGAGTATGGTCTTATCTGACTAGGAAACTAATTCCACACATTGAATCTAATTCCACACATTTATTACAACAGAAACAATTGCTTGTGTTTCTGTTTATGACATTCACTTTGGCCACAGCCATAAGTGTGAGCAGAAGAATCTTGTCAGAAAGAGATAACCCTCTTAACATCCTCATACATTACTTATTAGAGCACACCATACTGTTATCCATACATGAAATAAGGTGCTATTTTTCTGAATTATAAATACATTTGCACACATGTCAAATTACATACATGCCAAGATAATCATTCTAGCATGTTTATATGACAGCCAGTGATTTCAGTAATCCAAATGTCCAGTTGTTGGTGATAGAACATCTGCACCATGAAACCCCTACAACTGTTATAAAGAAAGGGATATATGCACACACGGAGAGAGAAACATCATATAACATAGCTTTATGTCTATATAATATGTAAGACATGAAAGCAAAAGGAACACTGTATGAATAGAAGGAGGGGATCATTAAGGAACAAAGGATGTTGATGGATATGAGTAAAGATCAATGATATACATGCATGAAAATGTCAGAAACTCTGTGTGTGAACTGAAGAAGTATTAAAAAGAAAATGAGGGGTACATTGTAAGACTATAAGCCTAAGGTTATTATATAATTCAAATGCTGATTTCTGTATTCCCCATATCTGGTTGCAAACCTTGTTCTGAGAATCTCCTGTCTTAATGTTGTATAAACTCTGCTCCCTAATGGTTCCCTGCTATGTCAATAAAGCAACTTATAGCCAATCACTGCACAGCGGAGAGACTAGGCCTGGACTTCTACCAGCCGGGGTGGAGAGAGGGGGGAGTGGGGGTTGGAAGAGTTAGAGGATAGGAAGTGGGGGATTGAGCCACCAGAGAGGTCCAGGAAAGAAGAATTCTGCAGGAAAGCTACAAAGTTCAAGTACCCTGGGATGTATGCTGGGAGGAAACCAGATTAACCTAGAGGGTTAAGAATAGAGTAATAACTGCTCAGTTGATGTTCTGTAAAGCTTACTATTAAACAAACATAAAATTCTCAGTTATTTAAATGATAGCTGGATTAAGAGTGAAACTAAGAGAAACAAAAACAGTTATATAAAAATGTAACATAAGACATATTTGAAATGAGTCACTGAAAAAAGTATACAAAACACATAAAAGTGGATACCTATAGTGTTTATTTATTGAATATTATAGAAATCATATTTCCCTCTCCACTACCACAATATTAATTTCTAAGTAACTCACAAATAATGAACTATTCAAAATGTTTTATTACAACTGATGGAAAGACATTTTAATGCTTATGTTCTTGATAGATTTTTTTTTTTGTAACAGAAATGGAATATCATTTACAATTTGGGACAGATGGACTGTACATGGAAAAGAAGATTTCACCCTGTCAGATTTCATAAATGCTGTCAAAGTAGGATATTTTCACTTCCTTGATTTATTAGTACCTTGAAGTTTTGTCTCTGTGTAATGTGCCTCCTAATTTATGGGAACCCCAGTGGGTCACTGAAACTATGATAGTACTAGATTCTTTATCAGACTCACACCTGTATGTATATACCTAGTGTAGTTTACAAGTAAGACATTATAAGAGAATAAGAATATTATATTAGAATGCATACTATAAGGAGAGTATTTCTCTCGAGATTACTTATTTAACAGTCGTTCTTAAACCTGAGCCTTTTGATTTTTTTTTTTTTCTTTCCTTAAGACAGTGAGAGCTCACTACTTTCAAAGGAGGCACTATTGGTTCCCCTTTGGCATGGCTGAATTGTCAGTCTCACTATTGTTGCACTTTGTGCCTTCTATTAAGTCAGTGGTTCTCAACCTTCCTAATGGAGCGACTCTTTAATACAGTCCTTCATGTTGTAGTGGCCCCAACCATAAAATTAGCTTTGTTGCTACTTCATAGCTGTAATTTGGCTACTGATATGAATTTTGAAGCAGCGCTTACTTAAACACTAGCAGTAGAGAGCCATTCAGTAACAAAGACAAGTTACTTAGGTGACTAATAAGTCACGTAAGTGTGGTGACCTGACCCAGCAAATGATTTCCATTAAAGCTGTTAGAGGACAGCCTTAGACTTTACCAGGCTGTTTGGGATGGCATGCAATTTAAAGCTAACATGTTTACTTCTGAGGGCTGGGGCCTTAATGAAAGAGCACTTAATGACCTGCCCCTAGCCCCAGAGCAGTCTCCAGGACTGGAATGAACAGAAGGTTTTTAGTTTGGAGATTTTTCCATTTAGTATTTTTAGACTCTGGTTAATTGAGAAAAGTAAAACCACAGATAACCGCTATAGTTCTCTTGGAGGATATAAATAACATTTTATATAAGCCTGCCCTCCTTTTGTGGCTGTAAAACATTTTTACTCATGTACTTTGGATGAGGCTGTGATTGTTTCCTTTGGGGTGTTTACCTTTAGGAGAAGTATGGAATTGAGCCAGCAATGGTGGTGCAGGGAGTCAAGATGCTTTATGTTCCTGTAATGCCGGGTCATGCAAAAAGGTTAAAGTTGACGTGAGTATCTACCATTATGTGCAGAAGAGGAACAAGAATCAAAGCATAAGTTGGGTATACACTGGAAAGTTAAAGAATATACTAGAATTTATATAAAAAGCATTATTGTGGCCTTCTGGTATTAGTAAAGACTGAATCTGACAGGGGAAGGCCAACAGTCCAATTCTCAAAAGAGACTCAGGATTGTACTTTTGTAAATTTATTATAGCCTAGTCAGATCTTTGTCAGATATAGGCTTAGAAATGAGATCAGTGTACTAAGGAAAGTAGGACACAGCCTTACATGTGAACATAGAAAATTACATGTGTAAAAATGAGATATAAGCAAGAGTACTAAGTAATGTTTTTATTTACTTGGTGCATTTTTGCTAAAGATGTCTGTTGTGGGTCAGGCTCTGTTCTAAGCATTGGGAATAGGAAGGACAGAAAAACCTTCCGACTTGAGGAATTTGAAGGAAAAAAAACTAGGAAAGGTAAAGTAGTTGTAGATGCAGTAGAAAAGGTAAAGAATGAAAAGAAAAAATATAGGATCAGGGAGGGCTGAGTTGTTACAAATTTAATAGTCTAGATATTGCCTCTGCGTGTTAGGTTTCTACCTGCTGTTGCTGCATTTTAGAGGAAGAAAAGTAACCAAAGGGAGCCCAAATCTTTACAGCTTCCTGCAAGGCACTGGTTGACCTGCTCCTCTGTATCCTTGTACGTTCCTTCTCTACTTCTCTCCTTTCATCTACATTGATTTCTGTATTTCTGGAACATGGCTGACATTCTCTGGTGAAGGCTTTGCTCTGGTTATTTCCTCTGCTTGCAGTTTGGAGACTGGATTGTCATCTTTGGTCTTTGCACTTTCTAAAAAGGCCTTTCTTAACTATTTAGCACTGCAAACTGTCTCCAGCTGTAGTTTAGTATGCCTGCCCTGTTTTGCTCTCTCCTTTTAAAAATATATTTATTCTTCAAAAGTTCATAATGTATAATGTACTTTAACCATCATCTCCTTCCTCTTCCCATTTAATCAGTAGATCTCAACATGTCGGTCACGACCTCTGGCAAATTTGATCTCCAAAAATATTTACATTAGGATTTATAACAGTAGCAAAATTATACTTATGAGGTAACAGTGAATATAATTTTATGATTGGAAGTCGCCACAACATAAGGAATTATATTAAGGAAGGATGGGAACCACTGCATTAAATGCATTTTTTTTTCATAACATTTTTCCCTCATATTTTGATGTGTTTCTCCCCAGATTCTTTTCTTTTTAATTGTGTATACATATCCACACACGCAAGCACTTGTATAGAGGACAGAGGCACATCTTTGTAGAATCTGTTCCTCCCATACACACGTTTTTACATGGGTTCCAGGAATTACCAGTGTTGCGTAATAAGCTGCTTTACCCACTGAGCAATCTCACTGCCCCTACTGTCTTTTAATTGAAATTGATTTTATTAGCATATGAGGGAATTTATTAATTTTGATCACCAGAAACTTACCAGTGGTTACACCCCTGAGGAAAATGACTCCTCCAATAATCATAACTCCCTTAGCCCCTTCCCCCATTAAGCCTGTTTTATACAACCATTGTTGGTGTGAGTTCATGGGTACAAAAGCCACGTCCAGAAGATAACATACACTTTTCTTTACCATCCTAAAGCTTTTGCATTCTTTCCATTCCCTCACCTGCAGTGTTCTCTGAGCCTTGAAAGAAGGGTATACAAAGTCCCAGTTAGGGTTGGCCACTCAGTCATCACTTATTCTCAACACATGGAGTTTCTCCATTAACTCTTGCACTGCAGGTAGACGTTTCTCTCTGACCAAGCTGGAAGCAGAGTATCTGAGTAAAAACATATTTAGGAGGTATTTTTTCACTATTCAGTTAACAAAGTGACAATAGTAGGTCCTGTTTCACACAAAGACATACTTATCTAGGGCTTATACCCTCCCTAGTCTGGCTTTCAACCAGGTTTAATGCTCGAAGCATGAATTCTTATATAGTAGGCCCTAAATCAGAATGTAGTTGGTTATCCTGATAACAGCCACGCCACTGTTGTGCCATTGGACATTGGGCACATCTTGCCTGGCAGGTTCGTGTAATAGCTGAGTTTTCACAGCCGAACCCCAGTAGTCTTCATATTCCCACACGACACACCCTAGCCAGCAGGGTGGATCCTTCCAGCTCAGGTATAGCCTCATTTCTCTGTATCCTTCAGTCAAAACAGGAGTCTTCAGCAAGAGGATCTTACGTAGCTCAGGTGGACAGCCAAGAGAAATGTCATTGTTTTGGAGGCCTCTGGGACCTCCCTGAGCAACAACTTATAAGAAAATTTCAAAAAAGTTTTTGGTTAGTAAACTGGCATGGATTAAGGGGTCAAAGTGATTGCTGCACAAGCCTGGCAACTTGAGTTTGATCCTTAGAACCCACTTAAAAGTAGAAGAAACTCCACAGTAATCCTGACCTTCATACACATATACCTTGCCAGAACCTTCTGCACATATACAGTACATACATACATGGGTAAACAAAATAATAAAACATTTTAATCACTTATGGCTTCTGGAAACAGCATTATCCACAACATTATAAACTCTTCCTGTATTTTCAGTATATAGCAGGTGAATATTTTCTTCATTTTCTGTGATCAGGTTGCCTCTTGAGTATATTAATGGTTTCATCTGTTGTACAGAAGCTTTTTAATTTCATGAGATTCCATTTGTCAATTGTTATTTCCTGAGCTACTGAGGTGTTATTCATGAAGTCTTTACCTAAGTCTTTTCATCTTTTTCATTCACTTTCCCCAGTATTGTTTGTTTTGAAGAAGTTATCTTTTCTCCAATATGTGTTTTTGGCATCTTTGTCAAAGTCATTTGGCTATGGATGCTTATACTTGGTTCCTCTATTCTATTATCCAATCTCTATGTCTGTTTCAGTGTCGTTTTATTATGTTGCCTCTGGTGTAACTTCAAATCAGCTATTGTGATAGCACCACTATTATTTTTACTACCCAAGATTACTTTGTCTATTCAGGGTCTTTTATGTTTCCATATGAATTTTAAGCCTTTTGTTTTGTTTTTTTGTTGTTGTCTGGTTTTGTTTGTTTGTTTTTCCAGTTCTCTGATGAATGGTGTTAGAATTTTGATGTAGATTGCATTGAACCTGTAGATTTTGGCAGGATGGCCATTTGCTCAGTTGATTCTTGAACATACGATGTTTTCTGTCTTCTGAAAGATCTTCCATTTTCTTTTTCAGTATTTTAAAGTTTTCATTGTAAAGGTCTTTTTAATTTTTATTTTTCTATATTAATCACAGGTTATTTGCTTTGTATCACAACTGTAGCCCCATCCCTCATTCCCTCCGAATCCCACCTTCCCTCCCTTATCTCCTCCCTGCCCCTTTCCAAGTCCACTGATAGGGGAGGACCTCCTCCCCTTCCATCTGACCTTAGCTTATCAGGTATCTCCAGGAATGGCTGCCATGTCTTCCTCTGTGGCCTAGAAAGACTGTTCCTCCCTCGGGGGAGGGGGCAGGGAAGGTAAAGGAGCCAGTCATTGAGATCATGTGAGAAATAGTTCCTGTTCTCCTTACTAGGGAACCCACTTGGATACTGAGCTACCATAGGCTACATCTGAGCAGGGGTTCTAGGTTATATCCATACATGCATGGTCCTTGGTTGGAGAAACAGTCTCGTAGAGGACCCCATGCCCTGCTATATTTTGTCCTTGTGGAGCTCCTGTCCTCTCTAGGTCATACTAACTCCCCCTTCTTTCATATGATTCACTGCACTCTGCTGAAGGTTTGGTTATGAGTCTCCGCATCTGCTTTGATACACTGTTAGGTAGAGTCTTTCAGAGGCCCTCTGTGGTAGGATTCTGTCCTGTTACTTGTTTTCTCCTACTTCCCCTGTCCATCCCATTTTTCTTTCTAAGTGAGGATTGATCATCTTAACTCTGGGTCCTCTTTCTTGTTCATCTTCTCTAAGTGCATATATTTTAGTATGTTTATCCTATCTTACAGGTCTATATAAGTGAGTATATACCGTGTGTATCTTTCTGCTCCTTTCTTTTAGTTAGTTTGACTTAGAGTGTGCAAACTGTGTTTATCATTTTAGAAAACCAGCTTGCTTCATGTGCACATGTGTCTGTATGTGCACATGGAGGTGTGTGGTGTGTATTCTAGTATGTAGGAGTGGACATATGAATGTGTATAAAGATCAGTGGATGGTGCCCTCAACTCCTTTATACCTTATTTAGGGAGCAAACTCTCACTATCTAGAGCTACCTTACTGTGTTGGCTCAGCTGGCTGGCCAACAGTCCTTATAAAACCCTACCCCCTCATCCCCGGCACTGAAAATACAAATGCCACCAACCACTTTTATCTTTTGTATGTGGCTTCTAGGAACCAAACTCTGATCTTCATGTTGCAAACACTTGCTTTTATAGCTACAAAATATTTTGCATGTATTGTTATTTCTGTCATTATCTCCTCCACTCACACTAGAATGATGGGCTTCATAGTGCACAAATCTTTATTTTATTTCTTCATTGTTGTATCTCAAGCAGTTAGACCAATACCAGGCACAAAAGAGCCATCAGTAAAAACTTGTATAAGTGGATATCTATGTGATGGTTCTCCTTAACATGACTGATGACTTTTGATTATCAGTTGAAGATAATCATTTGTACATTATAATTTTCTTAGTTATCTTTACCTTAAAATTGTTACATTAGATAAAATTAATTTGTCTTAAAATCATTAGAACTCCAAAGTATCATCTAGAGAACTTAAGAGCTGTTTTTAGAGTTCTTGTTATGTTTGCTACCAAGATGTGTGTAAAATATGTGATCATGAATTATTGTAATTTAAAATTTGCTGCAAAAATAACATGTTTTGCGAGTTGGCCAGTGTGTGGTCCCTGATTTAGCAGTTATTTATTAATTACTTAAGTGGCTGGACACTTTAAATCAGTGAATGAAACCGTGGTTAAGAGCATGAGCTTGGATTTATAAAGACTTACGTTTACAGGCTTGGGTGATTATTTATTAATACTTGTTTAGTTTCCTTGAGTAGCTTTGAAACATAGATTCTCATCAATGATTGTTCCCATAGATATTTAATGTTAAAGTAATAGGAAACCCTAAAAGTGTAGTAGCACAACAGTAATATTTCACAATTGTTGGTTCTGTTGCTATTTTATTATTTGTAGAAATAACCCTGATGTTAAGTACAGTTTACTCAGAGAAACTGGCACATTGATTATAAATTTAATTCTTTATAAATTAATTACTGTAACTAAATCATTACAATAAAGATGCTGACACTGCACCATGGACTTTCCTAAATCAGACTTCTGTTTTGGGTTAAATTTCATTTGAGCATTTGAAGGGGGATTATTATTGGCAAGAGCCAACAGCTTATGCATATTTACATAGCTTAAAAAAACTAAAGAGTGCAGGGTATCTTATGAAAGAAGGAGGAGATAAAAAGACCTGGAGAGGACAGGAGCTCCACAAGGAGAGCAATAGAACCAAAAAAAATCTGGGCCCAGGAGTCTTTTCTGAGACTGATACTCCAATCAAGGACCATGCATGGAGATAACGTAGAACTCCTGTACAGACGTAGCCCATGGTAGCTCAGTGTCCCAAGTGGGTTCCCTAGTAACGGGAATAGGGACTGTCCCTGACATAAAATCAGTGGCTGGTTCTTTGATCACCTCCCCCTGAAGGGGAGCAGCCTTGCCAGGCCACAGAGGAAGACAATGCAACTAGTCCTGATGAGACCTGATAAGCTAGGGTCAGATGGAACGGGAGAAAGACCTCCCCTATCAGTGGACTTGCGGAGGGGCATGGGAGAAGAGTCAGGGAGAGCAGGATTGGGAGGGGCTGAGGGGGAGGGAGTGACAGCTGGGATACAAAGTGAATAAATTTTAAAAAAAAATAAAAATAATAGAAAAAAAGGTAAAACAAACAAACAAACAAAAAAACCTAAAAGAATACACATCATCTCTTTGGAAAGTCAGGTAATTTGGATGTGAGTAGTAGAAAGAATGAAAAGTTATATATGGAACAAAGTAACTTTAAAATTGGAAGAATTGTTGTGGGGGACCAAATATAAAACATAATTCAGAGCCTTGCATGAATTGGTCCTCAACTTACGTTTTAAGAGATTTTGGATAACCAAATCCGTGAGAGATTTGGTAGCTTGTATTGTAATGTTTTAATGAAGCTTATTTTTTCCTCTCTCTAAAAGAATGCCAGTGGATCCATAATATCTCTAAGCTAGGAAATGTAGGAAGAAAGTCAGTTTTTTCAAAATCACTGCATTACTCTTTGGGATTTTTTTGTTTCTTTTCTGTAATTACCAGAAAGGATCCTATTAGATAAAGTGTTTTTAACTTGGAACAATAAGGAAAATTTAATGTTTAAAAATAGGCAGATTACTCTATTTTAAGGTATATATACAAGTCTCTTACTAGTACTAATTAGCAAATAGTCCTTTGATTTATCAAATTACCGAAGTATTTATCTTTGCTTATTCTTAGAATGCACAAACTTGTGAAACCTTCTACTGAGAAGAAATATGTGGATCTCACTGTGTCATTTGCCCCAGACACTGATGGAGATGAAGATTTGCCAGGACCTCCAGTAAGATACTACTTCAGTCACACTGATGAAGAAACGTTGTCATAGAGATACTCGGGACTGCTTTATTTTGGAAAGTGTACTTAATTCAGAAACTAAAATTAAATCAGCTCATAATACTGTGGATTTCTTTTTGCCTTAACTTAAGGAAAACAACAGTAGGAAGCTTAACTACACTGAAGAATTACAAAACATTTTGGAGCATAGTTCACATCTCTTCGTTGCTTCATACAGTTATTATCATAGCAACTTTGAACTGGAATACCATGTCTTAATGCTTACAAGTTTGTATATTAAGCCCTGTGGATGAAAGAAGGAACAAAGAAAGCATTTATCTATGACCAGAAGAAATAAAGATGAAGAAATTGAAAATAGTGAATCCTGGCTATTCAAAAAGCTAAATCCTGTTTTCAGGCTTTCTTTTTTTTTTTTTTTTTTTTTCATTATTTGAGACCCATTTTTCAATATAAATAGTGTGAAACTATACCTCTTTCATGATTAGGCTTTGAAACTTTCCTAACTGAGAGGAGAAGGGATCCTAACTGAGAGGAGGAGGGATTGATGAAGAATAGAGATTTAAATTTGTGTAGTTAAGTTAGTGTCTTCTTACTTGTGCTAACAGAGTTTGTTATATTACTTCCTCCCCTAAATCAGGATTTTTGCTGATAAGATCAGTGTTGTAAACCATGAGGACGTGTTAACTTGAACTCAATGTTAACAGTATTATATGCACTCTGACAACTCTCAGAAAATCCATGAATGTGAGCATATAGATATGACTAATCATTTGATTCTTAATACGCCTTTATTTTATTTATCTGGAGCTCAAAATTAGACATAGTATAAAAGGCTGAAATGTTATATAAAAGACAATATCCTTAGAAATAGGTGAAAATTAGAAATTTAATACAAGTACGGTTGTCTTTTTCTTTCCAATGTAATAGAGAAAAAAAAATAGTATGTTTTTTAAAGAAAACATGTCATTTTACTCTTCATTCCCAAAATGGGAATTGGCAGAGAGAAAGAATATATTTTTTTAGGTTTTTTTTTTTTTTTTCTTTGAGAAAAATGTTCTGTTTCCTGATATGAACAATTGCAAGTAATCATATAATTGGGTCCATCAACAGAGATAAACAATACGTTACTGTCAGTAAATGACTTTTTTTTTTTTTTTTACAAGCATATTTCATGTGTTCTCAACAGCAAGTTCTTACAACCTCTCAAAGTCACTTACTTGGAGCTCCTACTCATTTTCAGACCATTTGTAGCTACTTTGATGAATTAAAATTTAGATTAAATCAGTATTACTCCAACAGTATAGTTACTTTCCATTTACAAATACTTTTAAATGTCTATGTTAACCAGTTTTTTGTTTCCTCCTTTTATAAAGTCTCCAATTGGGAAATGGGTGAGTTATTGTAATAAAATGTTCTTTTCATTGAGAGATGGAGAAAAGTGAGCAGGATTTGTTGGTAAAGAAATGGCTACATAGAAAAATAAACTTTTTTTTGTCATATCCTACCCTTTTCTATTACGTATATTCCTAGTATAATGGTAAAAATTAATGTTACATAAAATTGAATCCAGGAACATCAAAGACTTTGTGGCTTAGAACTTAATGAGGGAAGGAATAATAGAATGTTTTCTGTTTTTGTTTGTTTATTTGTTTGTTTGTTTTGATAAAAAGCCTCTTTCAATTTTTACTTTGTCTCCTATTCTTTGGTAATAATGTTATTCTCTTGGCAACCATTCAGCAATCCTCAAACATGAACAGATACTTTGGCACTGTTTACTCAAGTGTTCACATACCTTTAGAGGTAAATGAGAACCATGCTTTGTAGAATGCCAGAGTAAACAAATAAATTAATAAATCAAATCAACCAGGATAAGGTAAGGTTCATTTTGCAATTAAACCTACAACCATTTTTTCATTTGTTTTTTTGGTTTTTGTTTCGCTCTTCCGTAGGTAATGATTATTACTGTCCTAATTTTTACTAAACTGGAAAGCCATAGTGAACTTGATGACAACTGATTTTCTTGTTTTGTTTATTTTGTACTTTAAGATTATTAATGAAATGTAACTATTGAATACTGGGGAAAAAAACAGTGTTACTCCATTCAGTGATTCCTTTTTTATTTTTTTTTAATTCTACAAATAAGTGGAAAAAAATTTAGGATATTGCCATAATTCGTGTTCTGTGTTTCTTTACACTCTTTTAATTTTTATTTTTATATTAATTACGTTTTATCATTTTGTGTCCCAGATGTAGCCTTCTCCCTCATCTCTTCCCATGCCCCTCTCCAAGTCCACTGATAGGGGAAGTCCTCCTCCCCTTCCAGCTGACCCTAGCCTATCAGATCTCATAAGGACTGGTTGCATTGCCTTCCTCTGGTAAAGCTGCTCTCCCTCCACCCACCCACCCCCCCCCCTTTGGGTTGGTAATCAAAGAGCTTGCTGCTGTCAGAGACAGTCCCTATTCCCCTTATAAGAGAACCCACTTGGAGACTGAGCTGCCATGGGCTACATCTGTGCAGGGGTCTAGGTTATCTCTATGCATGCTCCTTGGTTGGAGTATCAGACTCAGGAAAAAACCCTCAGCCCAGATTAGGCTGGGAATCGTGGCGTAAACCTATAATCCCAGCACTCACAGAGGCAGAGACAGGCAGATCTCTGTGAGTTCAAGGCCAGCCTGGTCTACAAACTGAGCACAGGAAGACCCTATCTCTTATTCTATGGTTAGTACTGCTTCTGTTACATTCTCTGCAAGCAGACTGGTTTCGGGCATATAAGCCAAAAGGGAACTGTGTGTTTAGCAAGCTAAAATCTGTAACTTTAATATCCAGGAGCACAAATAAATGAGAAAAAGAGGCACGCCATGAAAAACTTAGTTTGGGGTTTCTAAAGTTCATCTTTATAGGCTTGAAACTGTTGTGTTATATATCTTAAGTTCTTTATTCGTTGTTCCAAATGTACAATGTGGAAACAGTATATCTTATTTTTATACTTCATCTTTCATGACACATTGTTGGGACAACATCAAAGTACAAAAATATAGCTCTAGCTGGGCTTATAAGTCTAGAGTAGAGTACTTATCTCGCATACACAAGGCTTTGGGTTTGAGTCAACTCAAAAACAAAATCAGAGTTTAGATCTTGGGAGTCAGATGAAATAAGCAATTTGTATTTGCTTTACTCTTGCTGTATCATGAAATCTTGTTTGTTTGGTTTTTGTGTTTGTGTATGTGAACATGATTTGTTTTACCTGCATGTATGTCTATGCACCACATGTCTGCAGTGCTCATGAAGCCAGAACAGGGTGTTGGATACCCTGAGACAGGAGTTACACAAAGTTGTAATCTGTCATGTGAGAGCTGGGGAATAAACCCAGGTTCTTTCAAAAGGCAGTCTGTTATCTTAACCACTGAGCCATCACTCCAGTCTCAAAAGCTTCCTTTTTGTAACTGAAAAGGCATGTTTTAAGTATGTAAAATGTGAGTATACAATTTCTGGAATAATTTTAAAATAATTGCTCACCTATTCAATATTAAAATTAATAGAACCTTGGTATCAGAAACCTTCCTAATTCCCCAGTCACAAACATCTTACACCCTTGGTAATTACTGCTCTTCTACTTCTGGTTTTAACGGTTGGCTTGTTCATATGGTATTACTGCCCCCCCATGTGTAAATCAAAACGGAACAGTTCTGTCTGCTTTTGAACTGTATGTAAAGAATCATTCTACATAGTTTTCTGTATTTCATTTGCCATGATTCTTCCGTGTTCGTCGTGGCCATGTTTTATTTACCATCGCTATAATAGTTTACTTTACTTTTGTATTAATATACCAGTTTATGTGTTGTATTGACTGAATGACAAAGATGTATTTAGTTCAGGATAATTACAGTTCTGTAATAAATGTATTTTGTTTCTCTTGAATTGCAAATAAGATGTGTAGGATCAAAATTGCTTGATTGTAGATATTTTTAGTATTTTAATTTTGAAATGAAATAACATCAGGTTCTCCTTCCCTACTTTTTTTCCTCCTTCTAATAACCCTTCCCATGCACTGTCCCCTTTTACTAGGCATTAGATAATGTTCATTTTCTCCACATTGTGATCAGTTTGGATGGTTTTTGTTTTGTTTTTGTACTTTTGACAGTGTGGTGTACATGCAATTGTGTTTTGTTAACTATTTCCTCTATTATGGGGGCAGGCACCACCTTTTCACAAGTTCATTGGCCATTTAAACTTTCTTTTTTGAAAAATGTCTTGTCAGATATGTTATGCGTTTTCCCTTTGTTTTGGCAGTTCTTTTCCTCATTTGATATGTAGAAGATATTTATAAATCATGCTCTTTATTGTCTGTAGAGTTGTACATGTCTTATGGTATGTAGCTAAAGGGTAGGCACTAGCAGGACCAGTCTTTGTTTTATAATTAAAATCTTATTCCCAGCCTGAGGTATCTTCTCTGTTGCCTTCTAGGGCACTTAGTTTTGCCTTTCAGGCTTAAATAGTAATTCAGGAGTTAATTCTGGACATTTGGTTAATACTATGACAGTAGTATTTTGGTAAAGTCTATTTTTTTTTCTCCTAGTAGTAGAAAATGTACACGTCTCTTTTTCTTTCTGAACCTCTTGCCTTTTTTCTTCTAGACTAATGTCTCCATCACTTTAGCTGGTACATTTTTTTATGTTTAACAAAATTCATTCTTTAAACTTTATTTTTTCTGTTAAAATGTCATGGTTTTTCTTAACCCTTCTATTTTCCATTCTCAGATATCTTTATAAATTTGCAAACTTCACTCTGGCAGTTTTCCCTTTTCTTGCCCCCAAATTTTAATCACTTATTTGTGTGGTGTGTGTTTCTATGTATGTGAACACCTTTATGTGTTTATGTGTACCATGTGTATGTGGGTGCTATAGAGACCAGAAGAAGGCATCAGACCCTTTAGATCTGGAGTTAAAGGCATTTGTGAGTTACCCCCGATGGGTGCTGTGAACCACACCCTGCTCCTCTGCAAGAGAAAGTACTGTTAACCACCTCTGCAGCCCAAAAAGCATAGTCTGTCTTAATTTCAGTCTGTTGTCTTCTGTTTCTTTTTCTCTTTCTCTGTGCCAAGTTTCCTTTTAAGTACTTGCAATATTTTACTTGAAAACATACAGAAATCATTTAATAGGATATTTTCATTCTCCCCTCCACCCCATTTTTTTGCTTCTACAAAATATCTAGGCACTAGTAACTTAAAGTCACTTTGGAACTTCAGGCACTCTGATTTCCTGGCCCTTCTAGAGCAATTCAAGGTAGAACCTCAGACTTTTTGTTATTGTTGTTGTCTACCCTTACCCTTAAAGTTCATTCCTTTATAATTCCAAATGTGGTTTGAAGATACCAAAGTCCCCACCTCTTGACTATCCTAAACTTATATCATTTTTTTCTTACCCAAGATCTAGCTAAACTAAACTCAAAAGGTTATTATAAAAAAACATATGCATAGAAAGTCTAATGGTTTAAAAACGCATGTTAAAAAAAAGTCTAACCAGCCAGGAACATTGGAATGTAGCAATGCAGCCCTGATCCACATTTGTCTCACATCTTTTTGGTGTTCCATGGGTCCCTAGAGAACACACATATTTGAAATCCAGTCCCAATTTTCTATTCTGTTGTCACTTTTTAGGTGAGACTTAGGAGATCATAACACTGGGAAACAGCAGTCTCAAAGGTTGAAGTGACTTAATTTAAAATTATTTTTCTGACTCACACTGGAGGTCCTGGCCAGGTTGAGATGTAGGAAAAGGTCCTCTGCAATTTTCAATGCTGTACATTTGGTCTGGACAATTTATTTTGTACATGGCTCAGACCCATGAACAAAATAAATTTGCACTCCTTTACTATTAAAAAAAATACAAATGAAAATTTAAAATATTTTTAATCCTTTGAATTCATTTGAAACTTACTTTGTGTTACAGAATGATAGTTGTTAATGAATTTGAAACTAGTATATTCTATAGTCATTAGAGCTGCACTTGTCTGTGACAAAATTTTTCAATACTATTAAATTTTCTATATCTTTATGTTTTAATAAACTAATGTGAATTATCAAAAGAGTTATATTAAAAGTCACCTGTTTATTTTTTCTCCCGCATTGTTTCTGTTTTATATATCTTCAGACAAAATAAGTGCATGTGTGGTGTTTTGAATAAGAATGACCCCCAGGTTCATTTATTTGAATGCTTACTCAGCAGGGAACAACACTATTTGAAAGGATTAGAAGGATTAGGAGTGGCCTTGTTGACATTTGCTCAACTATGTTCATAGAAGTGTTATACACAATACCAGAATCTGGAAGCAACCTAGATGTCCCTCAACTGAAGAATGGATACAGAAATTGTGGTACATTTACACAATGGAATACTACTCAGCAATTAAAAACAAGGAAATCATGAAATTTGCAGGCAAATGGTGGGGACTAGAAAAGGTCATCCTGAGTGAGAAGCAGAAAGAACAGAACAACATAGAAAGACACGTGGTATATACTCATAAGTGGATATTAGCCATATAATATAGGATAAACAGTAAAATCTATAATGTTAAAAAAACTAAACATAAAGGAGGACTAGGGAAGAGGCTGAAACATTGGAAATAGGAGAAGACAAGGAACAGGACAGGAGCCTTCCACAGAGGACCTGTGAAAGACTACCCAGCAGGGTATTGAAGGGGATACTGATGAGAATCAAAGCCAAACTTTGGGCAGAGTGCAGGGAACTTTATGGAAGAAGAAGGTGATAGACCTGGAGGGGACAGGAACTCCACAAGGAGACAAACAGCCAAAATCCTGGGCCCAGGAGACCCTGCAGAGACTGATAGTCCAACCAAGGACCATGTGTGGAGACAACCTAGACCCCTTGCTCAGAGGAAGAGAAGAGAGACTGCTCAGTTTTCAAGTGAGGTCCCTAGTAAGGGACACAGAGGATGTCTCTGACATGAAATAAGTGGCCAGCTCTTTAATCACCTCCCCCTGAGGGGTACAGCCTTGCCAGGCCACAAAGGAAGATGATGCAGCCAGCCCTGATAAGACCTAATAAGCTAGGGTCAGATAGAAGGGAAGGAGGTCTTCCCTTATCAGTGGAATGGGGAAGGGGCATTGAAGAAGATGGAGGGTGGGTGAACCTGGGAGGATATAAAAGATGGGGCTGCAGCTGGGATACAAAGTGAATAAATTGTAATAAATTAATTTTTTAAATAGTGAAGAAAAGAAGGGGGCTGGAGTAGCCTTGTGTCACTGGGGATGGGCCCATGCTAGATTGTGTGCACATGCATGGTAATAATGAACTAAACTGAATCTCTAAGCCCCCATTTAAATGCTTGCTTTCTTTCATAAAATTTGCTTTGGTCATGACGTGTCTTCCTAGCAATATAACAGTGACTAACACCATAACTCTAGCTTGTTATATTTTCCTAGTTAATTATGTTTTATCAATGTGAATTATCTCTTTATGCCTTAATGTCTTTTTAGCCATCTTAGATTTCTTTTTGGTTGGTATTCTTATGGAATAGTTTTTCCATCCACTTTGAATCTTGACATACTTTTAATTTTTAGACATTTGCCTGTATATACCACATTTACTTGGATTTGGTGGTCAGGAGGTGTTGATCTAATCTTCCCCTAATGATTGCTCTTCTAGCAGCTGTGATTGGGAGGCTCTAGTTTTTCTCTGCCATCCTACAGAGTATCTCTCCCAGCCTCTCTACTGTTCTCACCTTCCTTTTTATAATTCTGTTTAATGGAACATTCCTATTTCTCTGAAACATGTTTAGTGATTTTTATGTTAAATTCTTTATTCAAATAAATAATGGTTTCTGTTTTCTTAATATACATTGTTTTCTCTTAACTAATAATTTTACTATATTAAATTATGCATATTCACATAAAATAACATAACCTTAATCATTACCTTTTGGCAGATTGTAAAATCCCCAAATAGCAGTATGTCCAGAAACAAATACTCATAAAAGATTGCCAGTCCCTGCCCTACTTACGACTTCCATTGTTGCATCAAAGCACCTTTACTGGCTTGCTCTCATTCTGTTGCATACTGTTTCTCTGAAAAGCTCACGCTCTGAAAATCCAGTTTGTGAAGAAACCCAGAGGAGCCTACGTGAAAAATTGAGGCTGTCAAAGCCTCGGGTATCAGACATTCTTTGCTGTGCTGACATTCCAAATTCATGAACTTCCCAAATAAAACTTACTAAATCCAACTGTAAGTTTTAGAGTTCTTTATTATACAGGTATCAAATTTGTTATCTCCAACTTGCATTTCATTACACATTTCTTTTACATACTTTAGTTCTGTTTTATACTACAGTGTCTGATGCTATTAAGACAACAGTCAATACTTTAATTTTTATGCACCTAAATGACTTCCTTTGGTCTTTTTAATATCTATTGCCACATTGAAAATAATGATTCTGGGCTAAAGAGATGGTTGATAGCACTGGTTGCTCTTTCAGAGACCCTGGGTTAAATTCCCAGCACCCACATGATAGCTCATAACTCTCCATAACTCTAGTTCTAGGGGATCTGGCCCCTCACACAGACATACATACAGGCAGAACATCAATTCACATAAAAATAAAAATCTTTTAAAAGTATTTATTCTTTCAGTATTTCATGGTTTCCATATTTGCTGTTGAAACATCTGTAGAGCATATTGGCCAGCTTGATTTATTTCTGACTTCCTAGGAAGGACTTCTTAGGCCCTGGACTTAGATTTATGTTTCTCTGTCCATTACCGCCAACCACGTTGTTTCACCAGCTTTAGCTCTTAAAAGATTTTAAGCACTGTATTTTCTTGGAGTAACAATTCACTTAAGACTTTTAGATGTTATGTTAAAACTCATCAGTCTCTTGTTTCTTAGCGACAAGGCTCATGAGCTGAAATATTATGTGGTCATTATCAAATTTATATAAATAATACTTTATGTCCCAGATCTAAGAATTCTCAGTAACACTAACTCCATTTAAACGACAGCCTTACTTGATTTTGCATATATTCCTACCCAGAAGTTTAATATAATCTCAAACTTTATTTTGTATAGCAATTACTTGTGGCGTATAATAAAAAGGCAAAATTGTGGACCAACTTTCTGTAGTACTAGCTCAGCAAGTTGAAGGGAAGCTTAGACAATAGCTCATTAAATTAGTTTACTGAAGCTCCATAACAAATATAGGGCTTATATATATATGTATGTGTATATACATACTCACAGTTTTGAGGCTGGAAATCTTAAAATATCTCATTTTGTTTTTCCCCCCTGAGGTCCTTTTTGTCATAAATGGCCATCTTCTCCCTTGGTTTCATAGAGTCTTCTGAGTCCTATTCTCTCATTAACATCTTTATAAGATGTTGGAACTAAGAGACTCTTAATCCACTCTAGCCTATTTGTGTTTTTATTTTGTTTGTGGGTTTTTCTTTTTAGGTGTGAAGAACAAAGAAGTGAAATACCCAAATAATTAGAACCAAGAATAGACCATATCATTTCTTTCTAAATTATATTTCATTCTAAATTATGTGACCATCAAAATCAATTTGTTTTGAAAGAAAAAAAATAGAATGACTGAGATTGTGACTCAAGATCTAGTCTGGATGGAGGTTCCATATTTTTAAAGAAATGAATCATCATAATTAACATGTATAACATTAAATTTGAAACAAAGTGGTGTATGTGTATTTTATTGTTCTTTAAAGATATATGAGTTAGTTTTGAACTGGTAAAACCCATCAAAAAAGAACTGAAAAAATGAATTGCACTTAGTTTCATGAACATATGTGGCATATAGCATTTTCACTAGAGAGGGTCATTTCCTAGTTCATTTCATATCTGTGACCTCCAACTAAGTAATTTAAATAATTTACATTTAATTAATTGGTCAAATCAAATTTCACCAAAAATTTAGTTAGGGTTTAGGAGATGGGTTGGATTCAGGGGAACTATATAATCTGCAATGGAAATTATGTATGTGAAATATATTTAATTGAAGTCAAGGAAGAGTAAAACATGGCTTTAGAAAGTAAATTTTTTCCACTTCAAGCAAAGAAATGCATGTATCAAGTTACTCTACAGACAGTAAGCTTTTCCTGCTGTTGGAACAATGAAATTATGTGCTAAATCATTTTATTACTGTGCCCAAATGAGTGATTTCAAAACTAGGGTCAGGGAAATAGAGATTGTTTTCTTTAAAAATGAAAGTCTTCCTTTTGAAAATAATAAATACCAAGATACATGAGGACAGTTTTCATGCCTTGTGTGGATTTTTCTTAGGCTTCTCACTTCTCTCTTCTATGTTGGGCTCTAGACCTAGAAGATGGAAAGTCTTGATTAATTAATGAAGCAATACTATAGGACCAACTTTTTCTATATATTCAACAGGAGATGGTTTTCTTTCTCATTCCCAAAACATGGGAGGTATGTAAATAAGTGATACATAATTAGATGCTCAATATCTGAATTTCACTGAAATGTTTGTATCCTGGGCCTAAAATGTCTTGTGTTTTCTTATGCTTTAGCTAATATTCTGTATACTTTCCATGGCATATTTTGAAATGACTTACACTAGTAATTTCTGACATTGGGAAAAGTAAATTGGGACAGTATCTCTTGACTAGACTCCTCTTACCTTCTGATGTCAAAGGGAAAGCTGGACACTAACATAGGTTAACAAAATTCAAAGAAGCCAATTGTGGTACGAGCCTGAAATGTGAGCACTTATGAAACAGAGGAAAGGTCAGCCTCAACTTCCTATCAAGCTGGAGCCCTTGTGAGTTGCAAAGTTAGACTAGAAAAACTACCCATAGAACAATGAACAAATAAAATAGTTGTTGATTTAACCACCATGGAGGTGGTTTATTGTACAGCGATGAATAACAATTGATAAATAACATCCTGGGAGGTGAAAAGTTACAGTTGATTTTCTACATAGCCCAAATTTTATTTTAAGAAATCCTGAGGGGTTGGGAGGGGTATTTTTTCCTTTTTTAATTTATTTTTATATTAATTACAGTTTATTCACTTTGTATCCCAGGTGTAGCCCCCTCCCTGATTCCCTCCCAATCCCATCCTCCTTCATTTCCCTGCCCCTCTCCAAGTCCACTGATAGGGTAGGTCCTCTGGGAGGGGTATTTTAAGAACTCATTCTCTCATTGAACCCTAGTAGGTGTGATTTCCTGCATACATACCAGGCAATGCATTATGTTGACTATGTATGTAGTTATGTGTCCATGCTTGGAGTCATAGGCTATGATAATTTTTCAGAAGCTAGACGACATACAGAGAAGGTTGTTGTGGGTATTTTGGTTTATGATGTGTAAACATCTTTTTGTTATAATTCCAAGTTGGGGATTTTAGTTTGTCCACACCTGTTAGGTGTCTCATGCGGAGTGTAGTCTTTACCGGCTGAATTAGTTGAATTCTGAGGACTTTGAGGGTATAAATATGATGGCCCAGAGGAAGAAGGCGTGGCTGCTTGGAGGAGGACTGCTTGCTGCTGGTTCCTCCTGCTGCTGCATTTGTTGTTTGCTGATTTGCTGGTTACCTGGACTTCTGAGTTTCTGGGTGACTGGTGTTATTATTGTGCCCAAAAGGATCCTACGACCCTACCCAGCAGGAACTCTGCCCCCGTCCCCACTAACCTTCTTTCTCTTCTACCCAGCGTTGGGTGGTTAGAAGGGATATAGAAGCATTTAAGAACCCTAAATAAAGTATGTTTGTTTAAAAGTCTAAGCCTACAGAAGAGATGAGAGAAAAGGGGGGTGCAGGAACCAGTAACTCAGAGAGCAGATAGAAACACTAAGAGGAAATGCTGTGGTTATTTTAATGGTATTTCATATGCTGAAGATGAAGGAATGTTTCAGACTCAAGGAAGAATTTTTTTTAGACCAATAACTCAGTGAGCTGTGTTGCCTCAAGAGTCAGTGAACCCCATAACAGAAGTTGCCAAGCCAACTGTGTGACAACATACATCTTAGAGACACTTCTTCTGCTGAGTGTACAAAGGGCCCTACACAGACCAAGACCAGGATCACACTTGATCCTTTTTAAAATCTTCAGACTGAGCTCTTGAATTTTTTCTTTGTTACGTAGAACCCAAAGATTTATAGTGATATTTTAAGAACTTAAACCTTTAAACCTGCTGCTGTTTTAATTAGTGAGATCTTCCAGATACGGCCCTGGTACAGGTAGACAAAGTTGTTTCCCATTATAATGTGTAGGAAAAGAAACTGTTTTGAGGAATGAAACCCAAACTAACTGTAGATGCTTCACCTCTCCTGCTTAGTGCTTGCTGACTGATTGCATGTAAACCGTTGGACAGAACAGGGCAAGATGCTAGCTAGCATCTAGTATCCTCACTATGCCTAAAACTGGAAAGCAAACGGGGCCAATTAAATGAACGTTTGAATTATACTGTTGACACAGTCTTGTCGCTAAGTTTAGAGGAATACTAAACTGTCTTAAGAATCATAACTTATGAAAAAGGAGCTTGCAAGATCTGAAGCTGACCTGAACTGCAATCTTTTCCAGTAGCGCTTCATCACTTCCTTATTCCTATGACCTTAGCAGCTGACTTTCTTTACCTCCTTAGCAGAATAGCACTAGTATCAAGGTCATTGTTACCAAGTGGCCAGTCCAGGCAGCCTTTGCTTATCCTCATGCATTCTACTCAGGCTCAAGCATATGACACCGTTGTGGGTCCCAACTTGCCTTACCATTTCCTCCTTGCTTCCCATGAGCTCATCTTGCTTTGCTTTCTAATTGGCCCTGAGCTTGTTTGATAACATCAAATAGAATGATGGCATGTTGTTAATAAACAAATTCATGCCTCAGAGACTTTCTGCAAGGACATGCTTTTTTTTCTCAGACTCTGCCAAATGGAGGGATTTAATTTTTTTTTTTAATTTAGTTTGCACGTTGGAGTGTTTGGGGTTTTGTTTTGTTTCATGTAGAAGTGAAGGACATACCAAGGTTGTCATCAGTTGAATGTATAAATGGTCTCAAATTCCCTCGGGTCTCCTTCACAAAATAATCAATGACGCTGAAAAGGTTTGGGAGTGTTACCTGTGTAAAAAGAAGTGAGAGATGGCTCAGGGCCTGGATAAGATAAACGAGATTGCCCCCCTCCCCCGAGGTTAGTGGGGAATGCTGTGTATTTCCTGACCTCCAGAAAGGCAGGTCAGATCTGCATTGTACTTCAGTGAGTTGCTGAATGGCCATGATTTTCTTACCCATGTTTCTTGTCTCCTTTTACTATGTGGCCATTGTCTGGTGAGGAGTTTCTCTCTTTGCGTTAGGTATAGTCTGGAAAGTAAGATTCCAGTGCTTTGCCTTCCCGCGATTAAAACAGAAAAATCACTCAATTTAGGACAAATTTTTCCTTCCTGAAGTTGGAAGTTAACTAGGCAAACAAGAAGGAATGGCAGCTCCATAATTAAATGTTTTCTAGTCGCTAAGAAATGTTTATAAAAAGAACCTTGTACATGTTGAAAATATTTTTCCTTAAGTTGGCCATGGTTCATTTCCTCTACTTGAAACCAGATAATTTAAGCATCTTAATGTGTCATTGTAACAGGATAATTTAGGGTCTGTGGGTCACTAAAATCTCCCTCATAAATCAAGTGAAATTTTGTTAAATCTGAATATCCCAAATAATCATGAAGTAAAATAACTCACTAACATGCAACCTGGTTGAAGGTCAGGGTTAGGAGGAGTTTTAAATTGAAAGAATACTTCAGGCTATCCGTTTTCCTTCTGCTGTGGACTGTAGTGAAATCTAATTACAAGGAGTCCAGTTCTCCACTTAGAGTGGCACAATAACCATTTCTGACTATTTGGTTTTATAGATGCTCCTTCATGAATCTTGTCTTCTACCTCTGTTACTTAACTTGGAGCCGGGTCTGATTGGTACACACCCATTGTCCAGAAGCAAGAAGATCCTGAGTTTACAATGGACTGAAATACATAGCTGCATCCATAGACATGGATCTGAGAAATGCCTGAGGCATTTTCACTAAAGTGAGCTGTGTGAATTGGTGTCTTTCTAAGACTTACGGTTTAAACATGAGAAATTCTACCACATGATCTCTTTTGCTATACAATGAGCCCAGACAGGCAGAGAAACCAAGAGCTAATTTTAAAGAAATATCAGGCCATGTCCCTACACTTTCAATGGCTGAGACCAATCTAAAGGCAGTTTACTGCCCTGTATAATGGGCATAACAATGTCTACCTCGTGATTAATCAATGCAAAAGATTGAACTGCATTCATTTATAAATTACTTAGCTGTGTATCTGACATTGTATTGGAGGGTAACACTGCCTATTGTTCGTTAGCTCCATGATATAATAACTAAGCCTGAAGAGAGGTTGAAGACAAGGAAGAAGCCTGGCCTTCGAGAGCACTGCTGTTAAGAGAGCATTGCTGGACTTCTGCACTGTGGGTATTAGAGGATGAGGCATTCGCATTGCTTCCCATCAGATACAGGTTAATTTGACTATTTATTAATAAAGAATGTTAAACAAACACTTAATAAAGGCACCTCTATTTCCCTGAAACAATTATATTGAGCAATCATTTGCAGAGAAAGTAGAAAAAACAACTTTCAGAAGAAGTTCTCTTTGCTCAGCCTCAGTTGCCTGTTCCTGGTGTCTCTCTTTCTACCCTCCCTATCTTAGAGATGTTTATTTCCCTGTTTACCATCTCAATGTCTTTTCCTCAGGAAGATTTCTGGTTTTGCCCTTTTCTCTGGATTCTATAAAGATAAGTTCGGAAGGCAACAGAAAGAAAGTTTATCAGCATCAAAGAAATGGCTACGTACAGGCTTTTCCAGTTCAATGGTGTAGTTCTTTCCAGTGCTCATCACTTTGTAGTGCTTGATTCTTGGCATTCTAAAATTAAATATACGGTTGACCTCCTTTTAATTATACAGTTGAGTTGATGCAAACTAAATGAATATAAAATATGCCCTGGGTACGAAACCTGTACATTTACAACAGTGTTTAGGTTACAGAACCCTGTTTTCTTCATTGGGATCACTACATCTCTTTGAGGCAAATGGTAATAGGAAATATGAAAGAATAGATAAAAATAAAAAGCTAGTATTCTCTCAGTAACATATAAAGCAGACCTGTTAAATCTTATTAAAAGGTAGGAATATGGTTCAGTGGTACAACTCTTGTGTAATATCCACTTCCTATTACTGACCAAAAAAAAGGCAAAATAAAAAAAAAATAAACCCAAACCCAAAAGAATACAAAATAAATCTCATGTGGGCATTTATAGGTCAAATAATATACCTTTTCTATTTAAACAACTTTGAAAGCACACAACTTTGTACTCCATTACTAATCCCAGCTGACAGTCCTCCATACCTTCTTTTGTGCTAGCTCACAAGCTTCCTTCTATTGCTGCAAACTTTGCAGTTATCTTAAAGATGGGGAAAGTGTTTAGTACTGTAGAACAGGTGGGTGGAAATGTAAAACAGTAGTTATATCTTCAGGTCTTCCTCTTTAGTTACCACCCAAAATAGTAGGATTTCGTTACGAATTGCTTTAGAACAGGAAGTCACATTGTATTCATCACTGTATTTCAACATTATAAACAGTTGTTATAAAGCCAAATTTTAAAATATTAGGAACTCATCTCAAAATGTTATCTGCTAAGAATATAAGCTAAGAATCTATGATGAAAACAGAAGTCAGTAGTTAGTTTAGAATCGTAGCATGTTTGCCTTGAATTCATTTGGTTCATGTGGCAATTGCGTTTAATGGTGACAAGTTAACAGCATGTATTATGGTGTCATTTATCTGAATTGAAAAGTAATTAAATATTTGCCTTATGTTCAGAAACTAAGAAAAAAATTTCACTGGGTTTAGCTTGCCTACAGGGCCTTTGCACCTTCCTTTCAGAATCACAACTTTTTGATTTGCGGCTTATATTCTGCAAGGGCAAGGCTGTACAACAGTGTCTATTCAGGGACTCTCCTCATCTACCATTACATCCAAAGCTCCTCTCATCTGGCTACCACATTGGAAAGCAAATCCTTAATCTCAGTGGCCTACTTCCAAAGCAGGGGATTACTCTTCGCCAGCCTGCTCCCTTCATGAGAAATATCCCTTAATGATAAAACGCCACAAATCAGTTTCAGACTGGTAGAAAGAGTCTTTGGACAGAGGATGTCTTACATGTGCCTGTTCGAGATGGTTGGCTCTGGCCTTATATTTATCCCTATCATGAAAACTCTCTTCAGTTTCAATTCAAATTCCTCTATCCTGACAATAAATGACTGCTACCCTGTGGGAGACTGGTAGGACAGTTGACTTAGATTCTGTCTGTCATAATGTGATCTCTAACCCTCCTCCCACCGTGTGAGTGTGTGTGAGTGAGCAGGAGTGTGTGCATTGTTTTCAGTTTACATAATGGAAGTGATAAAGGCTTACTTCTTAGGGCTACTATCTTTTAATACTTGCAAAGTCCTTAGTAAATTCCTTGATTTATTTAAGCACTCACTAAATTATCTTATTTACATTTCATATGTAGATTATATTTATTGTTTTCTGCAAGTCTAATTTGGAAAGCATGGAAAATACTGTTACCTCAATTTTTCTTGTGTGCCTGTAGCAATGACTGTAGCACTCAACATAGGGCACACAAAGGCACAGTCACACACACACACACACACACACACACACACACTCACACTCATTCATATAATGGAACAATGATTGTTGGTATTAGCCATCACATCGTATCATCAGTTGATGGGGAAGCTGTGAGATGAAAGTAGGCAGGTCAGCAGAAGCTCTTGGGACTTCTGAGTAATGGGTTTAAATTTTGGAGTCAAAGGTGATGCAGAGACTCAGAGGCCCTGAAATCTCATAGGTTTTGTCTCTCCTTTTATAGACTGTATTTTTCTACCAATTTTTGGTTTGGTTTGGTTTATAAAAGAAAATAATAAAATGAATAAAAATTTGCTGTTTAAAGTGTTCTGATTATGATATATTAAAAAAAAAAAAGAGCAAGTGAAGCGAGATATGGTGTCACACACCTGTCATCCCCGTACTTAAGAGGCCGAGTCAGGAGAATTACAAGTCAACCTAGGCTACAACAGAAAAAGAGAATGACCTCAGTTCTTGCAAAAGGATGAATCTGTGGTAAGGATTTTCTACTGCTTCCTTAGCTACTAACGGTTTGCGTGGCTAGAAATGTTAGCAAGAAAAAAAAAAAGAAAAGAAAAAGAAAATGTGAGGTTTGTTGTAAAAATACCTTCATGTCTTATGAGTTCACGTGCCACTGTGCTGGGTAAGAGGTAAAGATAAGTGATGCTCTGCCTAGAGAGAGGAATCACCTGGTGATTTGACCCCACAAACTCTGTTTAGTCCTGAGAGCAGCCTTCCTTCCTACCGCTGATCTGTAAACACATGGAGGGGAAAATCGCTTTCAAGTTCTGCTTTGTAAACTAGTTTGCCCTTTCCAGGTCGTGTTTACCGGACTCACTCACCAAAGCTGAGCATTTCTACTGGAACCTCCCTGAAAGAAAATGAACTTGTTTTGTGGGAAACACAGGTGTTTCTTATTAGTGCAGATTCTTGCCAAAAACTTTACATTAAATCTCCTCCGCTGGCAAGGCACCATTCCAGTGCTCTCTCAGATTGCTGTCTTTAAAAATCAAGTGACATATTTAGTAGAAGATATTAAACCCTGAGACCGGGGGTTAATTTTCTACTTTGTATCTCCTATTCAAGGAGCTAGTACTTTTTCGGGGTCCAGGACTGCCCAAACATGAGCTGAAATAGGATGACACCAATGGACATTCCACAGCGTATGGGGCCAAACCCGTGAAGCTTCAACTCTACAGAGAATTATACGCAACTGAGAAAATCTGGCAGTGGGAGATGCGGTCTTCTCAAGAAAAGAGCACACCATTTGGTTGTCCAGCGCCAAATGGTCAGCCTTGAAAACATACATACAATTAACAATATAGAAACTGAGCAGTTTATATTAAGAAAAAAATATATGAATATATGAATATATATATACACATACATGCAATAACAATTTGTGAAAAAAGAGGTCTTGAATTCAAAGGACAATAGGGAGGAGTATATGGAAGGGTTTGGAGAGAAGAAAAAGAAGGCAGAATGTTGTGATTGTATTATAATCTCAAAAGAAAGAGAAAACCAAAAGGAAAGAAAGGAAAGAGAAAAAAGGAAGAAAGAAAAGAGAGACCTGTGTTTGCCACAAAACACATCCCATCAACAGCTATAACTTGTACTTCTTTTGCACTTGTTTCAAGATAGCCAATTAAATTATTAATCAAATAAATTGCAACTTTAAAAATCTTCAATAATATATTCTAACAGAGTTGAAAATGTGTTGCTAATGCTTAGCTTGTAAAAGCATTTATGTCATTATAACATATTCTGCAAGGTAAAAATACTAGTGTATAATAAATAGAAAACATAAAGAATCCACAAGAAGACTGACAATTATCTACTTTGGGGAAAAAATAAAAATATACACAGAGATACACACATAGATTCAGGAGCACCAGGGTCTAATTTACCACCTAACATTCTTGCCACCTGTTAAAAGCTACTGAACGGGCAAGCAAATGAGGCTTTCAGGGCCATGGCTCATGAGAGTAATTGAGACAATGCCATGATTTTAATTTTTTTCTCTAAAGTATTATTTACTCTTTACTTTGTTTATTCACTATCAATGTCTTTATATTCGATCCATTTAGAATGACAAATATTTATGAAAAACTGGTAGATTTATTGGTAGATGAATTGCAGTAAATAAATAGAATATGATCCCAACAAAGAATAGTAAATTCAAAAAATCAAAGTTCTACTTATGCTTTATGTAAAACAGTAATTTATTGAATATTTAAATGTAGGACGAAACCTTCTGTATTTTAAATTATGCTATCAGTTGTGACAGTGTTGCCTAAGCCAGCAGTTTGTGTGGAGTCTGAAAGCAGGGGTGGCCTTAAAAGATCCAGCCACTGTAATTACATATAAGATTAGTTTGCACGTATATATGCATGGGAATGCACGTGTGCCCGTGTACACTTATTGTGGACCCCAGAGACCGATTTTTAGGTGGAGTTTCTAACTGTCCTGCAGCTGGCCAAGTGGGCTAGGCCTGCTAACCAGCAAACCCGGGGTCTGCCTGTCCCCATCTTCCTACTTTCTTTCCTTCCCTCCCTCCTTCCTTCCCTCCTTCCTTCCTTCCTTCCTCCTCCTCACCACTGACTACCTGACTCGCACTCAGGATGAACTTTTCTAGATCCCACCATTTGCCTGCACATTTCCTGACTTCCTTGTTTTTAATTGCTGAGTGGTATTCCATTGTGTAAATGTACCACAATTTCTGTATCCATTCCTCAGGGTTAGGGTTTGGGAGGAGGGGACAGGAACTCCACAGGGAGAGCAAAAGAATGAAAAAATCTGGGCACAGGGGTCTTTTCTGAGACTGATACTCCAACCAAGGACCATGCATGGAGATAACCTAAAACCCCTGCACAGATGTAGCTCATGGCAGCTCAGTGTCCAAGTGGGTACCCTAGTAATGGGAACAACGACTGTCTCTGACATGAATTCAGTGGCTGGCTCTTTGATCACCTCCCCCTGAGGGGTAAGCAGCCTTACCAAGCCACAGAGGAAGACAATGCAGCCAGTCCTGAGACCTGATAGGCTAGGGACCTCCGCTATCAATGGGCTGGGGGAGGGGCATGGGAGGAGAAGAGGGAGGGAGAGGATGAGTGAGGGGCCACAGCTGGGATACAAAGTGAATAAACTGTAAATAATAAAAATAAATATTTTTTTTTAAAAGAGAGTTTTGCTTATGTCAAACTACTTCTCATTCTTGTGTTTATATTTGTAGTCCTAACAATGCACAGCAGGTACTGACTGGAATGCCACCCCTTAACAATATGATAGACTAATCAAACATACTCTATCTCCTGCCGAATGGTGATGGAGTAGTTTTTACTGTCACTACCAGGCCTCAGGATCATATTTCCCAAAGAAGGGTTCTTCTCCAGCATCTCGGTTGCTTCTTTCCGGGAAACTGCATAGAAACATCTACATATGTGAGATGAAAAAGAAAACAATTTCTTAACTGATGAAGATCATTACTTGAAAATAGTGCTGCCAAAATACCTTGAGAGCTACAATTTTTTTAAGAGAGAGCAAGAGAGAACTTGAAAAGCAATCCACTAATCCATGTATAATCATGATTACCACTGAAAAGCTATGACAACTCATAGCAGATCCCCAGTCTTAATTCGCAACGGGGTCTTAGATTGCTTTGTTGTTGTTTGTTTGCACTAACTACTTTGAAATGCCCCAAGACTCTCTGTGGAGCTCTGTTTTTCTCGTTTATCTGTTTATTTGTTTTGAGATTGGGCCTTGCTATGTAGCTTTGACTGGCCTGTAACTCACCATATAGGCTATGTTGGCCTTGAACTCAAAGATCTACCTGCCTCTTCCTCCCAGTGCTGGATTTAAAGCTATAAACTGCCACTATGTCTAAACTGACTGCATTTGGTATAATTTGTTGTTTGTAGTGTTTTTGTTTGTTTGTTTGTCTGTTTGATATTTTGAGACAGAGTTTCTCTGTATAGCCATATAGCCCCAGCTATCCTGGAGTGTGCTGTGTAGATCAGGATGGCCATGAACTCAGAAACCTACCTGAGCCTGCTTCTGCCTCCCAAACTCTGGGATTAAAGGCATGCTCACCATGCATGCCTGATTTATAATTTGTATTAAAATGGCACCAGTAGTGTTTTTAGACACAAAATTAAGAAATTAATCACTTCCTGGTTTATAATACATGTTATATTCAGTGAAATATAATAGTCATGGAAAAATTTGACAGAGTATTTGATACCTCCAAAATGTTATTGGCAAATATATTTAAGTGTTGTGACAAGAATTAATTTTCATCTTTTCATTATTTATCTGTAACAAACACATTAGTTCCTGTGTTGGGGGAGGAAGAAAACATTCCACATGATTTTTGTTTTATGGATTGATCACTTGTCTAGTTTGAGCTAGCGGCATTGATTAACGGGTCCCAGGACTGTGCATCAGAACCTGGTGTCAGAGATAAAACCAGGACACATTTTAATGACAAGAGCACAAAGATTTCCAAAGGAAAAAAAAATATTTGGTATAAATGATGATAAATAATCCAGTTATAGAGTCACACACTTCTATGTCATTTCCTTCCTTTTTCATAGCAACTTTAATTTTAGGTTGAGCTGGGAAGACATCTCTTTAAGTCTAGATGTGTGGGTAGAAGGGGATTTCCTCTGTGGTAAGAGTTAGTTCAAATATGCGTGATGTTGATCATGACATAGGAGAGGAAATGTGGCAGGTGCTCAGCGACATGCACTTTAATCTCCAAGATATTTAGTAACCCTGGTGTAACAAGTTCAAGTGGGTAGCGCTACCTGACAATTAGCAGTCAGTCTTAACTGAATGAATAAACAGACCAGTTTTGCACTTACCCTGGCATCGGGTTCAACACATCCACATAACCTTGTACTGGTCCCTGCTCCTTCTCCTTCTCCTTCTCCGCAGGCATAGCTGGCAGCTGTTCTGTGTCGAGCCTTCTTTTCTTTTCTCTCTCTAAGACTTCATGCAGCCTGATCACTTGTCCAGGTAGAAGTGACACGTGTTGAGGAACTGACAGCTGAAACCAATAAAAACAATGGGCAAACTAAAAGCATGGCTAAGCAGCATGCTGGCTTTAGCAGAGAGGAGCTTGTTAGCCCCAGGGAGTGGTGGTTAATTGTCAGAGATGAATGGATAGAACAATGACTAGAAGATTCCCGTCTAAGGTGGGCATTACAGAACCGCCCCTGTATCAACCAGAACCTGCACAGGGTTTAGGAGCTCCTGGAGATACCTCATTCTTACACAAGTTAACTTGGAAAAGCTCCGCCTTATCATGCCAACATGGGTTTGAGATGGACACAGGATCAGCAGGTTTACACTGTATGTCCATTCATATTTTAACATTTTGATATTTCTCTGCATGTTTTTTTTTAATTTTTACTTTCTCTAGAAATGTGTTTTAAATTTAGTTATCCACGTACACTCTTGTGGATTGTATTCACACGTCAAATTTAGTTGGGAACAACCTATGCTTTGTGAAAAAGTATGATGCAACATTTTCTAATTGTGGCATTAGCTAGCTGGTCAGGATTTGGGGTCAGCCATGTCCGATTTATAATTTGACCACCAGAAGAGGAGGCATAGTCATCAGGTGATATACAAAAAATCCATGAGAGTTTAAATCTTCACTTTCACTTTAGTGTCTGTGTGTGTGTTGTATGCATGGGTATGCATTGTGGGAGCATGGGCTAGCTCATAAATACATATGAGGCCAGAGGTCAACATCAGATGTCTTTTTGATCAGTTTTTTCGAGACAGTTTGAATAGATTGGCTGACTAGCAAACCCTAAGACCCACCTGCATTTTCTTCCTGAGCACTGGAATTACAAATGCTGGCTTTTATGTGAGTTCTGGGAACCCCAACTTAGGTTCTTGTAGTTGCACAGAAGGAAGTTCACCCAGTAAAGTCTTCTTTCCAGTCTCATGCTTAGTTACTATTTCAAAATTCATGTTGTGGTTTATACTCATGTGTATCTGCACATACACAATTTAGGTAATTTGCCAATAGGGATACACAACCAAAAAAATTCATAACAAATAACCAAAGCAAAATAGATAAAGCAATGAGGAAGAACTAATAAAACAATTACCCATTACTTTATTTGACTATTTCTCTTTAGCTACTTCTCATGAATTCTCAGTCGTTATGTGTATCTCAATCATTCTATAAATGATATAAAAAAGACAAGACAAAGTATTGCTACTTGCATTTTGTAACAACAACAAATAAACCACAAAAGAAATTATGATCAAAAATATGAAAGCCCTGAGCACTACAGCTAGTGAGTTGTGAAGTTAAAACTCTGAATCAGGTTCTTGTGGTTCCAGAATGAGGTCTCCACTCTATCAACTGCAGTCTGTGTTCCTTGTGCTTTTGTAGAAACTAGTCTAAAAAATATTACATTAGTGGGTTTTGTTGCTACTATGTTTTTCTAGACGTGTGTTTTTGATTGAGTTTGCCAAATATGTCCTACTGAATTATTTTTATACCCCAGTCTAACTCCTCATTATGTTCTCATGGAGCAATAGTCAGAAAAGTGGGGTGTTTTCTCAAATGACTTATTCACATATAGTGATTTTAGGCCACTCCCCAAACATTTATAGAGCAGAAAAATAATAAAATGTCTTCTCTTAAAAATTCATATATCATATAATGTACCAGTGTTTGAACTATAAATTACTGCTTTCTTCTTTTTTGTTTTATTTGTTGTTTGTTTGCTTGACACAGGCTTGTTTTTTATTTTTTATTTTTTTTTTTTTTATGTAAGCCTTGGCTGTCCTGGAAAGTGCTCTGTAGATTATGCTGGCCTCGACCTCACAGAGGTCCGCCTGCCTCTGCCTCCAGAGTGCTGGCATTAAAGTTGTGTGCCATCACTGCCCAGCACTGCTTTTCTATTTTTAATCAAGAAAAATATCTGAACAAAATGCTCCAAACTTCACGTATTATTAGTTTATCAAGAAGAGGCACTGAAACTCTTGGGATGGTTTTAGTGTTTATGCCTAGTCACATACTCTCAGGCTACTTACAGACACCCAAATGGCACCCTGTCTGTAACAGAGGAGGAAAGCTCAATTCTTCTAACAGGCTCTTCTCTAACCTCATGGGTAAGCATGTCCTTCACATGCTTCAGGCTTCAGAGGCATACTCTATATGACGTTTGAAATTCCACCCATTTTTTCTCTAAGAGGCTGATATAATGAACCAGCACCCAATGTCTTGGTTATTTCATATGACCCTAAAGTCTTTATTCAGAAACATCACTTTGGTAGAAACAGACATTTGAGCCTAACCTAGAAATGTTTCATTTGCTCTAAGAGTTTTAATGAACATAGTGCTTTAAGAAAGGCTGGTTATCAAAGCATATCATGTTTTGAAGACAGTTGCTGCTATGGCTTTATTCAAATTAACCGTACTGTATCTTGCTGCAGAGATTCATAATAAGCAATGGGTCTTATTATTTGCCTCTGATAAGATGATGTCATTGAGCAGATAAACATCCTTTTGTTTTAAGACTCAAGTAACAAGCACGTAAAGGTGATTTTTCATTTTGATGGTTTCTCTCTTTCATATTGCCTATTTTGTTCACAAACCACTGTGGCACAGCATTTTATAAATTTAAAAGAAAAATGTTGGCTGTTATTTTAGAATAAACTACATAAACTATAAATGTCAGCATATCCAAAGAGCCTCTGTGTCAACAAGGTAAGATGGTAGGGCTTTGAGAGATAGCTTAGCCATGAAGTCCAAGGCTAAGAACCAAAAAGATAAGATGGTAAAAGCAGTTCTCCCTCACCCCCTGCTCACCAGTATCCCTTCAGAACAGTTAGCACAAGGTGAAATGGGCTGTGTGTTTAGTGACTGTAGCAAGCCAAGTGATAACAGTATAAGTTTCAGAAACAAAATCGTTGATTTCTGTCTGCCTTTTCTAGTCTTTACATCCTCAGCCACTTTAACTTATGTAGCTGTAGTAGCTGTTAGCAACTATTTCACTAGCACATAAATAAACAGACAGTAATGATCTTCTGCTGTGCGTGGTGACTCTCAGTGATAATCTCATCATTTGGGAGGCTGAGACAGGAGGATTGTAAGTTTAAGGTTACCGTGGGCTATCAAGATCTTGTCTCAATAAAGGAAACAGCTGCCCTCCTTACCTCTGTTACTGTAAGAATGAAGCCTCTCCATTCTTCCCCACTTTCTGTGTTTTCTGTCTAAAAATTAAAAACAAAGATAAAGCAGAAAATACATAATTAATGAATGACTCATACTAACTTTAAATAACAAGATTTTCACATGATTATTTTCTGACAAAATAGATGCACCATCAAAAGCTAGCATGATTACGGGTTAGGGAGAATGGCTCTTTGGGTAAAGCATTTGCCACATGAATCATTAAGGCCAGAGTTTGGACCTCTAGAACCAAGTAAAATGCCAACTGCATGTGGCAGCTCAGATGTGAGGCGAAGGCAGTGGCTCTCTTGCACATGCCGGCTAGCTAGACTGGCCAAATTGGGAAGTCATGCATCCATGTGAGAGGGGTTGCCTTTATGTATAAGATGGAGAGTGAATGAGAAACATTCCTGCTGTCAGTTTCTGGCCACCAGACACACGAGCACACACATGTAACACATGTGCCCCGGTGCACATCCAAAGAGCCATGCATACATGCACATACAGCACACACACATACTGCAAAAGAGAGAAAAGACATAGCAAGGTGGCAAAAAAATGCATAGTCCTCCATTTAGAAACTTTGTTAAATAAGATCATTTGAAAAATTAAAAGCTGCAAGGAGAAATAGTTTTACTTTTTGCTTAGGTTTAACATATATGTATCATGAAATATTTCAGTCACATTTTCTTTTATAGGTAAACAGAAGTGTAAATCACTGAGGGGTGAGATTGCTCAGTGAATAAAGCACTTGTCACACAAGTGTCAAGACCTAAATTCAAGCCCCCAGAAGTCACAGAAAGTCGGGCACAGTGAGATACATAATCCCAGTGTGCGTATGGCAAGATAGGAGGGAGGTAGAGACAGGAGAATCTCTGCACGCTATTTCCAGCTACCTTGGCATTCTCAGAATCAAACAACAAAGTGACCTTGTCACAAACAAGTAGAAAATGTGGACCCAAGAGTGTTCTTTAACCTCACTGTACAACACATGCACTGTGGCACACATGCTCACGCACTCCCTCACGAAGACCAGAGGCATGCATAGACATTTTTGAAAGCAAAACTGAAATATATACCTTTACATTATTTGCCTTCTAAATGAGTATAATTGTACGCATTTTGCTTAACTGAAAAAAAGAAATGTTAGTGAACTTATTTCTACTTATTGCTACTTAATGATTACTCTCTCCCTTGGCTTGAAATTTGGGGAAATGATGTTTTTTTAAAAAAAATCCAATTTTTAGCTTCAAATATGACTACTTTGACTGCTCATAATTCCAGCCAATTTCTTTTGAGCACTTATAATGCTAGCTACTGTTCTAAGCACCCCACAGTTATTGCCTGCTTAAGCATTTCAAAGAACTATTCTAGGTGACTACTGTTTGTTAGTTGTCTGCACTGAGATCCTGCATGGTCCTCCCTAGAAATAAAAATGGAGTCATCAGTGCTGATGTTCCATCCATATCACTAAACCAAAACCAAATGCTATCTTGCCTTCTTGAGAAATAAGTAAAGAAACATAACAACTACATTTCCCATACAGACCAATTTCAATTTGTTCCCTCTGTTTCCAAAAAAAGTAACCTGAAGTAATCTAATAACCAATGAGTTATTTTTCTGTTATTTGTCTTCCTATTTCTGCCTGCCCTGGAAGCTTTTGAAATGAGCAACTAATTTTATGAATGGTTTTAAATTTGCGCTAGCTTTCCTTGTCTGTGGAATCATTTTCTTCTTTTTGGCCGATTAGAATATTTTACCCTATAGAATAAAACACACCTGGTTCTTTAGTAGACTATAAAACAAATTAAGATCTTTAAATGAAGTTGTGATTTTGTCCTTTGACAGTCTTCAAGGTAACTCAGCAAGAGGTGTTTTTAATTATCATTTTATATATCAGTTCAATTAAAAGATATATATATATATATATATATATATATATATATATATATATATATATAGTATATTGTTAAGTGTAGATGTTTGGAAGAAAACAAAAATCCTTGTTCTCAAGAAGTTTGAAATCTAGCAAGGAAGCATAAATAGTCAACGTAATAGTATATCCAATTTTGTTGGAAAGAAACAAATAGGAAAAATAAAATATGGAACAGAGTAAGACAAACTGATAATATGATGAAAGGGCAGGTGTCTTACCATTCTATTATGTGAAGAGACACTATGAACAAGGCAACTCTTATGAAAGAGAGCATTTAACTGGAGACTGTTGCAGGTTTAGAGGGTTAGTCCATGATCATTATGACTGGAAACAGACAGGCATGGCACAAGAGCAGTAGCTGAGAGCTTTACATCCTATCCACAGGCAGCAGGCAGAGGGAGAGAGAAAGACACTGGGCCTGGCCTTGGTGTGGGCTTTTGAAAGTTCAAAGCCCACCCTCAGTGACACACCTTCTCCAGCAAGGCCACGCCTCCTCATCCTTCTAATCCTTCTCATTTCACCAACTGGAGACCAGGCATTAAAACATAAGAGCCTATAGGGTCATTCTCATTCAGACCATAACTGCAGGCTAGGTGGACCAGGTTAAAATTTTTATAAAGTGTTCTAGGTGAGCCACAGAATGTGGCTTAAGTTTGAGCAAAGACTTACTTGTAATTCGTGAAACATATGGGCAAAGGGTTGAGTAACTTGTCTATAATACACAGCTCATGCATAAAGTAGTAAATTTCAACATCAGCATCTGACTCCTGTGCCTACCACCCTCACCCCTATATCCCAGAGTTTTGCAAGGATCTTGCTTAAATGCAGACTCAAACCAAACACTACAGCTCTCAACGTCAACCAGCAGCTTCCTCAGAACTTCTCCAATATTTATCAATTCCAAGTTGTTCTCTGTGTTATGACTTTCTTTGTTGGGTAATTTTTGTTAGCTCATTGTGTTAATTCAAGGACAACCATAAAAAAATAAAAAACACCAGGTGGGACCCTTGTCTTTGTCAGAATAGAAGTCTAAGGTTTCATTGTGCTTATACACTAAACAAGTGAACGTGTCCTTCTAAAATGTAACTCAGACACTGTAGTCCGTGGCAAAGGGCAGAAAATATTAGCGAAGTGTTAAGACTGGGCCCCTCTTGTAATTCTTCATTTCAACCATTGATGTTAAAAGGTATAAGCTTTATTCTCTATACATTGCTGTTTCTCCTCACTCACCTTTAGTTGTACTTCCTCTTTAGGTAAAACAAGAGTGAATTTTGCACAATTCTTTTCAGTTGAATTTTGGTCAGTAAGGCATACAAGGTCTATTATGTCTAACTTGCTAACATACTGCAAAGATAAAGGAAAATATTGTTAAATTACTTCCTGGGCAAGATACATTTGTTCTAGCACTATAATATAGGCAAAATTCAAATTCTAGAAAAATAATGGTTTTTAAACCTATTTGCACTTCACATAACTACCTGGTTTCTACAATACAAGAGAGTATATAAACATTCATTTTGTAGTGGTGTGCTGTATTTGACCCAGACAAATTTGCAAAGGCCATATTAAATTTTTGAGAATTTTGCAGTTGATTAACATAGGCATTATTAAAATGTAATTATATTAACATAGCAGCTAAGTGAGATATATAAAAATAAAGTTAGAACACAATCAAAATTAAAATTTCATTCTTTTCTAATTTTCCTGCAGTCTAGAGAGTATGTCTATGCCACCAACAGTATTTGCATCATTGTTCTCTCTGACGTAAGTACTGTGTCACAGTGCTGCTGTGTATTTCTTCACGCTCCGTGCTCAGTACAGTTCACACAGGTAGGTTGATGCAGTCATAGTAGAAGTGTTCACACTAAAGAAACTGGTAAACGTTGCAATGAAAACCAGGATGCAAATTTAAAGAGTTTGTGTGAGAATTAAATAATATATATGTATGTAAACAATGTGAATGGTTACTGTGTGCAGTCTACTGACTGAAGTTCTTTCATGTCCTGTCTCATCTGCTTATTTGCATAGCCTTATGAGATAGACTATGGATTTTATCCTAAATATAGAGATCTGAAAAATGGGAGTATTGGAGATTTTCTGTGCACCCCTTTATTATTTATTCCTTCAGATTCAATTGTATTCTTTGAACACACAACACTGCACCAGGAGAGGGATGTGTATGACATCAGTTTGCCTCACCGTTTGACTGCCTGCTGAGATGGACCACTGGAAACCTTCAGCAGGAAGTCCGAGGATGGTGTTCAGTACCCTGTATAGTTTCTCCTTCAATCAAATGTCATGTTCCTCTTAAGTACCAGCTCTCCCACTCTTTCCCCTCATGACTCATAGACAAATATGACACTATTATTAGCCTCGGAGCTAGGTTTGTGACTTCTCTATATTCTGCCCACTGCTTTGAATATTTATAAGGACTTTATTAAACATTCTTCAAATTGCGCAATTTGAGATGTCATCTGTTTTCCTCCACGTCCCTTTTTAGGCAGTGAGTCACAGAGGGGTTAGGCAATTAACTCAAGATCACAGTTAACAATGGCCGGGCCAGCACTAAAAGTAGTAGGCACTCTCTCTGGGCATGCCGTGCTCCCAGTCAGTGGCTGTACTGCTCTTGAACTGTTACAGGTGAACTTGGTCTTCTCCTATATGAGGGTTAAGCATCTTCCTTACGGTCCTCTTTTTTGTTTAGCTTCTTTAGGACTATAGATTTCAGTATGCATATCCTACATTAGAGGGCTAATATCTACTTATAACTGAGTATATACCATATGTGTCTTTCTGCTTCTGGGTTACCTCACTCAGGATGACCTTTTCTAGTTCCAGCCATTTGCCTACAAATTTCATGATTTCCTTGTTTTTAATTGATGATTAGTATTGCATTGTGTAAATGTACCACAATTTCTGTATCCATTCTTCAGTTTTTGATCTTAACTATTCTGATGGGTGTTAGGTGAAATCTCAGGGTCGTTTTGATTTGCATTTCCCGAATGACTAAGGATGTTGAGTATTTGTTTCTCTGCCATTCCATATTCCTCTGTTGAGAATTCTCTGGTTAGCTCTGTACCCCATTTTTTTAATTGGATTATTTGGATGGAAGAAGATGGAGATAGTAAGACTTGGAGGGAACAGAAGCTCCACAAGGAGAACAACAGAGCCAAAAAACCTGGGCCCAGGGGGTCCTGCAGAGACTGATACTCCAATCAAGGACCATGTATGAAGAGGACCTAGACCCCCTGTTCAAATGAAGCCCATAGGTTGCTCGGTTTCCAAGAGGGTTCCCTAGTAAGGGTTCAGGGGCTGTCTCTGACATGAACTCAGTAGCTGGCTCTTTGATTACCATCCCCTAGGAGTTGCAGCCTTGCCACTCCACAGAGGAAGATGATGCAGCCAGCCTTGATCAGACCTGATAGGCTAGGGTCAGATAGAAGTGGAAGGAGGTCCTCCCCTATCAGGGGACTAGGGAAAGGGCATAGGAGGAGAAGAGGGAGGATGGGTAAGACTGGGAGGAGAGGAGGGAGAAGGCTGCAATGGGGATACAAAGTGAATAAATTGTAATAAATTAATTAATTAAAAAAACAAACATACAAAAACATGTGAACTTGGTCACTGTGAATCACATAAGGTTTAGGCCACAGTCTTAGATTTCTTGACATCACTGGAAAGTTTCAGTACACCACAAACAGCTTAGTCTTTAAAGAACTAATTAAAGAGTCACTTCATCATTGTTCTCATATTATAGGTCTTAGAGGGTATGCCTTTGTCTAGGAAAATTAAATTATGACATCGTATGTTACGATGCTATGGGAATTATCTATTCCTTTCAGATTACAGTTGTATTCCGTAACATAGTTGCATTCCATAATTGCAAGAAACAAAGCTATCATTTTGCATTAAGCAGAATTATCTAAATTTCTACTTTTAAATTAAGTGTTTATTATCTAGGTCAGGAATTTAAAAACAAGAGTTAAAACCTTCTGAGTGGTCACCCCTGATCCTGTCATAATTGAAAGCCCCCTCACTTTTCCATTTTTAACACCCTAATTTTGGGGTGATAGAAAAAAAGAATAATATACGCCAATGGTATATTGGAAGGTGAACATGTCAGACTACTTACGATTGTACTTTTTTTGTCGGTATAAAAGAAAAGTGTGGCTCCTCTCAACTCTGTCCAATAGTGTTTGTACTCCTGTGGTGGAAAAAAAAATCACAAACACCATTTCATAAGTGTACGTTCAACACTTTTATTTTCTGTTTTGTAATTGTGTAATATAAAGTTATTCTTTATCCCACACATTTTTGCCTAAATTTAAAAATTATGTATTTTATGTGTGTTTGTGTGTTCTCCCAAGAGCACCACCTGTGTACAATAACCAAGCAAACCAGAAGAGTTGAATCCCTGGGAACCGGAGTTAGAGGAGGTTATGACCTGCCTGACATGGGTGCTGTGTACTGATCCCATATCCTCTGGGAGAGCAGGAAGAGCTCTTAACCACCAAGCCATTTTACGCACACACAAACCTTTTCTTCCTTTTTTTTTTTTTTTTTTTACTTTACTCTTCTTTCTTTTTTTTTTTTTAAATTAAATTTGGAGACAAGATCTTACTAAATATCTCTGGTTGGCCTGAAACTTGTGTAGAACATGCAGGGCTTGAACTCACAGAGATCATCCTCCCTCAGCCTCCGATATGCTGGGATTAAAGGTCAATGCCAAAACACCAGACTATTCACTGAATTTTTCCTAAATTTTTAAAAATTTCCATACGTGTTATCATTATATGGCATCCTTTTACAAGGTTCACTCACATTTTAATGGTTTCACTTTGCAGTTAATTCTTTTCTAAAAGAATAGATATATTTATTTTATTCTATGTGTGTGAGTATTTTCCTGCACCACATGGATTTATCAGCACCACATGTGTGCCTGGTGTCCCTGAAGGCCAGAAGAGAGCATTGAATCCCCTGGAAGTGGTGTTACAGACAGTTGTGAGACACCATAGGGATGCTGGGAATTGAACCTGTGACTACGGAAAAGCAGCCAGTGTTCTTAACCACTGATTCATTTCTTTAGCTCTTCACTTAATTCTTGATTAAATCCTTTTCAAACTTGTTTTAGTATAATGTTTGACTTGTGCTCAGCTCGACTGTTTCTGAAACACTTCTCATTAATTTAAAACTATTTACTCAATTTTAGTGGACGCTCACATGAGCCAGGAGGACACTTAAAAGGTCATATAGGACATGGATATATCTGTTCTTTAGGGCAGATAAAAGGACTGAGCAAATATATAGAGTTAAAGAACTTAGAAGAGGACTTTTAGTTTGAGTTTGTGAAACAGTATTTATCACTCATAGACTCTGGGGACATATAAATTGATGATAAAAAGGATTTAATACATTTATAGTTGAAGTTTGAAGACCAAATTTCATTCATTAGGTAAATATTTAATTATTAATAGATTCACATTACCATGAGTTCTTTACAAATAATGTTTTAAATTTAAAAATTGTTTAATAACCTAGTTAGACTCTCATTTCAGTTGGCTTAAGCTTCATTTATTTTTTTATTTTTCTTTCTTCTTTTCTTTTTTCTTTTTCTTTCTTCGTAAAAGGGTCTCACCATGTAGCTCTGACCCTCCTGGAATTCACTATGTAAAACAGGCTGGAGGCTAGCTTTTGAATTCACAGAGGTCCACCTTCCTTTGTATCCGGAGTGCTGGGATTAAAGGTGTGCACCCCTACACCCTGCCCAGGCTTCATTCACAGAATTTCAAAAAACATTATGGAAAATAGATTGGAGAGATGTACAGTGATTAAGAATGCTTACTGGCTGGGTGGTGGTGATGGCTGATTTGGTGGTGCTCACCTTTAATTCCAGCACTCTGGAGGCAGAAGCAGGTGAATCTCTGAATTCAACACCAGCCAGGTCTACAGAGAAAGTTTTTGGACAGCCAGGATCACACAGAGAAACCCTGTCTTGAAAAAACAAAATAGAAAGAGAGACAGAGAGAGAGAGAGAGAGAGAGAGAGAGAGAGAGAAGAAAAGAAAAGAAGAAAGAGGATGCTTCCTATTCTTCCAGAAGATGATTCAGTTCCCAGCATCCATGCTGGGCATGCCCTCACACAGAAAACACAATATACATACGTAAAATTAAACATTTTAAAATTTATTAATTTATTTATTTTTATTATTAAATAATCCAATTTACATAGGTCTCTCCTTCCTCTCCTCCTAGTTCCACCCTCCCTCCTGCATCCCCTCTCCCCTATTCCTCAGAATAGGGGAGCCTACTACCAAGACACCCCAGCTCATCAACTCAATAAGGACTGAGTTCTTCTTCCTCCCCTGTGTCCTGGTAGGGAAGTCTCATCAGAGGAAAGTGATCAAAAAGCAAGCAACATAGTCTGTATCAGAGATATCCTCCACTCCCTTAACTAGTGAGCTAACATGAAGCCTAGGATGTCCACTGGACTCATCTTCTTGGAATCTGTGCATTGTAGTATGTTTATCCTATACTCTATGACTAAAATCTGCTTATAAGTGAGTATATACCATGTGTGTTTTTCTGGGTGTGGGCTACCTCACTCAGGATGACCTTTTCTAGTTCCATCCATTTGCCTGAAAATTTCATGATTTCTTTGTTTTTAATGACTAAGTAGTATTCCATTGTGTAAATGTACCAGAGTTTCTTTATCCATTCTTTGGTTGAGGGACATCTAGGTTGTTTCCAGTTTCTGGTTATTACGAATGAAGCTGCTATGAATATGGTTGAGCAAATGTCCTTGTTGTATGATAGAGCATGTTTCGAGTGTATGCCCAGGAGTGGTATAGTTGGTCTTGAGGCATGGCTATTCCCAGTTTTCTGAGAAAGTGCCAGACTGGTTTCCAGAGAGGCTGTACAAGTTTGCACTCCCACCAGCAATGGAAGAGTGTTCTCCTTTGCTCAACAGTATGCGCTGTCACTTGAGTTTTTGACCTTGGCCATTCTGATTGGTGTAAGATGGAACCTCTGAGTTGTTTTGATTTACATTTCCCTGATGACTAAGGATGTTGAGCATTTTTTATGTTTTTCTGCATAATAAAGGCTATATACAGCAAGCTGATAACCAATATTAAAGTCAATGGACAGAAACTCAGAGCAATCCCACTGCTATCAGGGACAAGGCAAGGCTGCCACTCCATCTCTCTTCAACATAGTACTGGAAGTTCTAGCTAGAGCAGTAAGACAACTAAAGGAGATCAAAGGGATAGCAATCAGAAAGGAAGAAGTTAAAGTATCACTGTTCACAGATGATATGATAATACACATAAGCAACCCCAAAAGTTCCACCAGAGAACACCTGCAGCTGATAAACTCCTTCAGAAAAGTGGTTGGACACAAGATTAATTTAAAAAAAAGTAGTCCTCCTGTATAAAATTCAATCTTAAGAGAAAAACATTTTAATTTTTTTCTAGATGAGAAAATGAAGCCCAATGTGTTTATTTTTAAATTGTGTGTGTGTATGTGCATGTGTGGAGTGTATACCTAATGATTTTATATTCACTATGTGTGTGCAGGAGCCCACAGAGGTTAGAAGATGGTCTGATCTCCTGGATCTGGAGTTTAAGGTGGTTGTGAGCCACCATGTGTGTGCTAGGAACTGATCCCAGGTCTTCTGCAAGAGTAGTAAATGCTGTTAACCACTGAGTAATCTCTCCAGCCTTAAGAAGCATATAAATTTGTGCCTTTATTATATCTATGTAAGCATTTCCATGACCTAGTCAAAATTCAAAAGGTGTAAAGATAGATTCAGCTTAATGCAGGGGAAAAAAGATAAAAGTTATACTTCAGTGGTGTGTGCATATGGTCAAGTTTAAATGAAATTATAGCATTGCTGCAGTAATCACTCCAAACACAGAGCTGGAACTTGGGAAGAGGTATCCTTGCCCATGGTAGATGGTCTCTTCACTCCAGTCAACCCATTACTGAGAGCTGACTGCAACATGTAATAGGCTTATGGGATCAGTCAAAAGATCTTTCCTAAAGGGCAGTTACAAAACTGAGCAAAGAGTTTCCTGAAATCTGAATGCCCCATGTGTGTCAATGACGGTTGCACCTTAGAGTCAAATAGATTAGTTAAGAAGAAACAAACCTTAGTTTTGACCCCATCAGAAATGTCTTCTGCTTATAGAGGAAACCAAGTTTCTTGTCACTACAAAAGCCTTTTTCCTGGCCTTCCTGACACTTTCTTAACACCCTCCCTCTTAGTCTCCATGGACGAATCGTGCCAGAATGACTGTTTGGGTGTCAAACAGATGAGGTTGGCAGACAGGTTGCTTAGCTCACCCCTTCCAGTCCTCTGTCAGCCTTGTCTGCTAGGAGAGAGTGGGTGTTCTGCTCTATTTCCTACCAGGTAGCAAAGGGCCTCTAAGAAGTGTAGGCTTGGGCCTTTCAAGCTGAGTCAGTGTGGAGGTACTTCAGTCTAGGATGAAGCATTAGCAGCTTAGGCCCACTGTCAAACTCACACACTGGTAGGCTTTATAAGTAATAGATGAAAGTAATGAATCCCCAGTTAGGTAATTCCTGAGCCTTTAAAACTAGGGAGAAGAAAAATGCAAGTGGAGTATCATAAACATTTAAAGTTGGGAGAAGAGAGACAGATGCTGCTCATGGAAATTCTTCATACAGTGATGACCTGAACTGGCAGAAATAAGGGTCCTGGACAGTGAGGTATTAAACAGAAACTGAGATAAAAATTAATGAAGAGGAGAAATGAAGACAAAAGGAGTATCTGGGATAAGGAGGTCTCGCATAAGCTGATGACTTATGCTGGGCAGGTTTATTAAGAAGTACAGCATCTTAAATACTGCTTGCAGGGTAAAGACAGTCAGAGTCGGCAGAAAGCTAAGTCAGACAATATTGGCAAAGAGAACCCGGGATACCTCTGACACAGATGCTTAGGACAGATAACTAAAACCAAGGGGGAGGAGTCAAGTCCACAGAAGCCTCACGTTGACTCTTATGAGGCACTGGCTTCAGCTCTAAACCAATCCAAGTCCACTTCTGGACAAGGACACAGAACTAAAGTTCCTTTTGTTCTTTAGTCAGGGTCATGTAGCCAGTCTTGGGTCATTTTGGCTTCCCACATAGTGACTTGCTTAGTGATGACCCATCGCTTTGGAATATTTTAAAAATCATCAAAGAATAA